GGCGGGGCCGGGCGGGCGTGACGGGGCCGGCTGGTGCGACGGGGCCGGGCGGGTGCGACGGGGCCTGAAGGCGTGACGGGGCCCAGGAGGGGGCTCGACGCGGCCCAGGAGGGGCGCTACGGGGCCCAGGAGGGGCACGACGGGGGGCCCAGGAGGGGCGCTACATGGGCCCAGGACGGGCGCGACGGGGCCCAGGAGGGGCGCTACGGAGCCCAGGAGGGGCACGACGAGGCCCAGGAGGGGCGCTACAGGGCCTAGGAGGGGCGCGACAGGGCCCAGGAGGGGCGCGACGGGGCCCAGGAGGGGCGCTACGGAGCCCAGGAGGGGCGCGACAGGGCCTGGGAGGGGCGCGACGGGGCCCAGGAGGGGCGCTACAGGGCCCAGGAAGGGCGCGACGGGGCCCAGGAGGGGCGCTACGGGGCCCAGGAGGGGCGCTACGGAGCCCAGGAGGGGCGCGACTAGGCCTGGGAGGGGCGCGACGGGGCTCAGGAAGGGCGCGACGGGGCCCAGGAGGGGCACTACGGGGCCCAGGAAGGGGCGCGACGGGGCTAGGGGGGGGTCGCGACTGGGCTAGGGGCACGACGGGGCTAGGAGGGCGAGCGGAAGCGGTAGGTGGGGGGGGATCCTAACCAGGCCCCTAGATTGGTTTTGAGGCCTCCTGATGACTCAGGGGTGGCGCTCGTTTTTTGCCTGTATTTTCAGGACGCCTAGTGGAAACCAAGCTTATGAGTCAGGACAGCTTTTGAAAAGATGCCTGTTTTTTCAGGGTTCCTTACATTTAGGGTCCTGCATGACCGTGGTGCTTTTTGCATTGGAAGATCACATCACATCACATCATATCACACATCAAAGCTTGCAATACGTAGTTAAAGCGGATCCAGCAATGATTCATATTTAAGACTTATAAAGCATCTCATTCATCCATGGCAAAATCCATGGTCGACGACACTTCTACAGGTCCCTCCTCCACCACCTCCTTTCCCTTATACCTGAGCAGCCTAGGTTGTGCCACGGTACTGAAAGGCTTTCTCTTTTTGTATGCCCGCCACACATCCACCACCTCGTCCCAGTTTGGCTCATAATCGAGCAGACTGATGCACATGAGATCGCTCAGCCGTGTGTCCTTCAGGCTGCCCCGCAGCCACGACTTGATGACATTCTGTCGTGAGAATCCCCGCTCACATTCCACCGTGCTCAGCGGAAGCACGGCCACTGCCACCCACAGCTTCATGAGGTTGGGGTAGGCATCTTGCCAGTCTGCTGTCTTCAGCATCGCAGTGAGGCCAGCGTGGAAGCTTTTTTCGCTCTTCGGAAGTGCAGCAAGGATCGGGTGAAGTGTGGCAACTCCCGCAGTGCTTGGCGCTTGTCGATGCCTGCCACAGACGGGAAAAGAGGTCGGGGGAGTGGTGTAAGGTTATGGTGGAGACAGTCAACTGAGAGAAAGAGACAACACATGTGCAACAGTCTCAGTTGTACAATGGTACATGTCGGTGGGTTTAGGTAACGAGTTCACCTGGAAGGATCTCGTTCCTCTGCTCCGCGTTGTACAGCCCCACCAAAGAGTGGAACCATTCCAAGCACTGCACCCTCCTCGCCTGCCGATCCCAGTCCTTCGGCCAGGCAGAAACGCAGAACAGCTTTACCCCCGCCAGCTTGCGAAGATCCCCGAGGCGCTCGTTCAGGTTATTCACCATCCCTTCCGCCAGGTCCATGCAAGCCACCACGCAGTTGTCATGCTTCCCTCCCCCAGGGTACCCTTGCAGCGTGTCAACGTGAAGCTCAAATGTGAAGCTCGTGAGACTCCCGTCGGAGTCCACGCCACTGACAGTGACCTCGCGAGAACCGCCAGGACCATGAAGGGTGAGGAAGTTGGTGAGACGGTCCTTCGGGCCACCCCCGAACTCATCCCCGCAATCGACGTAGCGGCTCAGGAACAGGCTGGTGATGCGAAGGACGGACGCGTGGATGGTCAGGTAGTCCAGCTGATGGGGGGATGGGGGAAGGTCGGGGGCAAGCAAGGTAGGACAACAATATAAAGTGACGTCCGCAAGTATACCACCACGCTAATGCAATTGTTATCTCACCTCGCGCTCCTGAAAGCCCTTGTTGAGGATGTTGAGCTGCTCGAGGACGTCAGCAAGGAAGTGGACGAAGAACCAGAAGCGGTAACTGGTCGCAATTCTGTAGAGCCTGTTGTCGGGGAACTCTTTGAGCATAACCACAAGCGCAAGCAACACCGCCAGCAACCTCGAGATTGCCTCACCTCTCGACAACCATCGAATGTTGTGAATACCCTGGAGCTCCAAGGTTGTCGAGAGGAACAGGTCTTGCAAGTCGAGAAAGCGCTGGTGCCACGGGCCGGATCTTCCGAAGTACTCCGCCAGCTCCTTGATGAAGTCATCCACAATTTGAAACACCGGAAGCGCCTCTGATGCTGCCTTGGCTGCCAAAGCCTCCCTGCATGACAAAACGTGAAACCAATACATTAGCATATTGCAAGCAAAGTTGAAGACGGCGTTAACTCTTGTACTCAGGATGACATATCTTACCTATGCGCAATACAGTGACACGACACAAGGTGAGGCACTTGCTGGCGCAGTCGAGTAACAAGCCCACTCTTCGACCCCATCATGACAGCCGCCCCATCAGTGCTGATCCCGGAGACTCGCTGGAGATCCACCCCAATGGCGTTCAGGTGGGTAAGCAGTAGGGCGAGCAGTGAAGACGCATCGGCTTTGTCCACCGTCAGCAAGGCCAGGTACTCGCACACCAGCCGGTTGTCACGGATGAAGTGGGCGTACACAATCAAGTGCTTCCCTCGGCAGCGGTCGGTGCTCTCGTCCAGCATGAGGCCGATGTAAGGACTCGACAGAAGGTGGTGAAGCTGCGTTGTTTGGAGCCAGGTTGCCGTTGCTAGTGTGAATTCGCCGAATCCGTACCTGCACGGTTCACATGGACTAACACACACTGTAAGTACGACGTGCAACCTAAGACGCGCACTAATCGGAGGGTCTAAATAATCAGAGAACATAGAGGGCATTAACAGAATGAAGTCCGTAGCTAAGCGGTGATGATTGTATACTCACGTGTTGTAGTACGTGCCGTAGGCCTGCTGCGGGAAACCCGTCACCTTCCGCGACGCCAGGTACTGAACGAGCCGGATCCATGTCTCGGCCGGCTCGTTAGTCTTGCAGCAGAACCACAAGGCGTCCAGCAGGGCAGTGACGCGCTCCCTCTCAAGGTCCCCGGCAAGGGGATGTTGATCGATGCGTTGTTGTCTGGTTGCCTGTTGCAGCAGATCGTTCTGCTTCTGCAGAGCGAGTTGGTGCTTGCCGGACCCCGCATGTCGTGTGAACGCCTGATTCTGAGCATCGCATAGGCCTGGGCCACGCTTGCCAGCCTTCCCAGAAAGACCTGCGTGCTCCAAGCATAGGGTGCACTTAAAGGCAGGCAAGCCAGAGTCAGTCTTTAAAATGACAAGCCACGGGAATCGCGTCGACCAACGGGTCTTAAACCTGCTGTGAGCCTCCGCATACTGCTCCTCAGAACTCGTTGTCTTGGTCGACGACCTGTTTGGGGTGTCATCAACATCGTCGGCGTCGGCAGCTTCTTCATCGGGCAGTGATGGCTGTTTCACTTTGGGCTGACCAAATGGCAGAACAGCCTGCCGGTAGCGCCCACAAGGCCGCTGAGAGACAGACGCAGGAGAGGAGTCATAAGCGGGCTGAGTAGACGACGGCCCGGGTACAGCTGGGGGCGGGGATTCGGCAACGGGGACTGTGCTGTCTCGACTCACACGCGCGGCAGACTTTGGCGGGACAGCCGCTGGAGAGGCGCTGTCTGCGGGTTGGAACGTCGACGGACCAGGTACCGAAATTTCTGCAGCATGAACCGGAACGGGAAGACTCCAGCAGCCAGGTGGCATTGCTTGCACAGCCTCTGGGGAGGAAGCGTTCGCTGGGTGGATCGGCTGCAGTCGCGCTACTGCGGGTGGGGTATTTCTGACTGCGGGCATCGTAAGGATGCCCGCTCTTCCATTGATGGTGGTGGGTGCTACACGGGCCTCTACTGCCCTAGGATTGCTGCGTAGCGAAGACAGGCTAGACAGTAGCATGTCTAGCCCTGATCGAGCATCGGCCATAGCTGCGACATGGCCGTCAACATCGTCCTCAACAGCCTCGTCGCCGGCGTTAGCCATGGCGACGTGGGGGGCAGTAGAGCGATCAACGTGAGAGAGACGATGGAGGGCTTCTTGCACGACAGGTGAGACTGAGAAGAAAGCTAGGCAACGAGTCAGTGAGAGGGGCAATTTTGCCCCAACGTAAGAATGACCTCGACAAGAAAGGGGGGCGCGATTCGACTCGAATGGAGAGACGACAATGGGGCTGCATCTGGCCTTCATTCGAGAGGCCAGCGCAATGCATGCATCTGTTGCTTCATTGTCACCCGCTCTGCATGACAGCACCAGTGTGCTGGCGCAACGGTAGGCTTTGCCTTAGCACCAATCAGATCGTGCAACATCGATGCCTTCAGTATACAGCTGTGCTGTAGGTTCCGCCCTAAGCCAATCAGTTGTCACCGTGCAGTGAGCTAGGCAGCATATGACTCGGCTGGTCGGTAACTTGGGCGAAATTTCAGGGACCTTGACATGATTTGAGGGAAACACGTGGGGGGAAGGGGGGGGGGGGGGAGGGAGAGCGGGGAGCGCAAATCCCGGTATTGACAAAATCAGGACGCGTACGCATTAGAGTGTCAGAAATTTCAGGACGCGTTACATAAACCATGCGGAGTGATAAGAGTTCACTACAAAAAAACCGCTGAAAAAACAGGATGCCGAACAAAAAAAACCCTACGCAATCAGGACCGGCCCGCCAACGGGGTCTGTTTTTTTTCCTGAATCAGGAAAATTTTCCTGCAATCTAGGGGCCTGATCCTAACCTACGCGTGATACCGTATCAGAATTAGTAAAGTGAATAATGATAGAGTGAGAGTACACACAGATATACCTAAGTGTTGTACCCTCTAAGAGGCTACCCTATACAGTCTATACAAACATGACAAATACACATGTTTGACATGTCCTCCAATGGAATGGACATTCAATATTTCACACTTTAAAGCGAGGGTCTCAAGAAGCAGAAAACCAAATCCAAAGGTTTTGGTTTCGGGGGGTGTCGAAAATTGCGAGTTGTGGTGAGGGGTGGTGCTTGGGCGCTGTTACTGTTTCGCTAAATTCGTGAACCCAAAACCAAACCTCTTGGATTTGGTTTCGCACTTCTTGAGACCCTCGCTTTAAATGGCACAAGCTGTACACTAAGCAAATTCTGCCCACAGACACCCTCTAAGCGCGAGGCGAAACGACTGCAGCAGCGGCAGAAGGGGGCCATGGTCACTTTCTGGTGGAGGCAGCATGGCGCCTCAGCGCCACGTACAGCACGACGCGCAGCGCAGCAATGAACGCCACCATGGCCGCCACGTTGCGCCCCGGGCTGATGCCCGAGAAGCCCCGCGCATCCAGGTACGCCGCGCCCGTGAGCCCGCACGCTTGGCTGCTGCCCGATGCCGTGTACCCCACCCCGGCGGCGGGCGCGAAGGTGGAGAAGCAGGCGGCGGCCAGACCCAGGTGGAACTCGCCCCACAGCAGCAGCTCCATGGGGTAGCGCATGAGCGACACGTGGTACAGCCACACCCAGTACCCGGGGATGGCGTCCCTGCGGGCGAGGGAGGGATGGCGGGCGGAAGGGAAGAGAGGGGAGAGAGGGGAGAGAGGGGAGAGAGGGGAGAGAGGGAAGAGAGGGGAGAGAGGGCGGCAGTTGAGGGGCAGCGCATGAGAAACGCAGAGGAGCTGCTGGCTGCACTCAGAGATGGCAGATGTGGAGACATGCAGCAGGGATGGCAGGCATGGCAGGGATGGCAGGCATGGCAGGCATGGAAGGGCCGTTGGGAAAGAGAGGAGAGGGGGGGCGGGGGAGATGGAAGGGAATGGAAGGGAGCAGAGGCAGAGAGGAGGTAAGAGAGCAAGCTGACCGACTGCAGTGGCAGCAGCAGCAGCAGTGGTAGCAGTGGCTCACTTGCTGAAGAAGAAGCCGCTGAAGAGCAGGAAGAAGGAGAAGCAGGAGCTGGCAATGGTGGCCGCCACCATGTGCGACGGCAGCAGCGCTGACAGCACAGTCACGAATGCGTTGGCCAGGAGAAACGCCAGCCACAGCACGGCCACAAACAACGCGAAGGCGGATGCGGAGGGCGCGAGCCCCACGAGCCAGTAGAGCGGCGCAGCGAGGGCAAGGGAGAGGAGGAGGAAGAGCGGTAGCGTGACGAGAAAAGTGGCCGCCACGTAGGGCGCCGTGCGGTACGCGCCTCTGGAGGTCTCCCGGGCGAAGATGACACGCTCCTGGGGGGGAGGGGGGGGGGGGGGAGGGTGGGGGATGGGCGAAAGTGGGGGCGGTGCGACATCAGGTGATGAGGTCAGCTGAGAAAAGGGCCATGGAGGCTGTGTGCTGTGACCATGGCCGTGCAACAAACCCTTGACAAACTGTCCGCCTGTGCAGCAATTCAGGAAAACGAGCAAGAAATCAAGGCAGACGAGGGCCGCTGATTCAAGAGCAAAACACGTGCAGAGGCTCTCATGAGGTAGAAGATGGGGGGAGGAAGGCACTCACGAGGTAGAAGATTGGGGGAGGAGGTCTTAGGTTATCAGGGCATTTGCACTGACTTGACTGAAATGTAGAGTTGCTTTTAAATCAACCCTGATTTTCTCCGGGTGCTTTTTCATCCAGCCCTGACGAAATCGGGGAACGCCTCTAGGCAACCCTGGAAACAGCGGGAGGATTTCCTAGTGACCCGGATATTTTCCGCTACCTGACTTTTGAGTCGACTCAAAAGTCACCTACCTGCACCCATCCCCCCCGGTCCACAGCTCCCCACATCCATTGAAAGAACAAGTTTCCACACCTCCCAACACTCCTCACTCTTCCAGCACACAACTATCAGGCTAAGAAGCATCCCCCCCCCACACTCCCCCCCCTTGAACAAACGCGAATCGTGTGTGCCGTAGAGTGTTCAACATCCTCTAGTCAAACCTGTAGAAATGTGAACTGTCCCTCCCCGTTGAGGGCATTTCTTCAACGGGCCCTCAAGAATCAGAGTGCCACAGTTTTGGACCCGGGGTTTTCAGGGTGAAATGTCAGGGGAGCTCTGAGCGTCAGACTTGTTAAAAGGAACTAGCATAAGCCCTCACGAGGTAGAAGATGGGGGGAGGGAGGAATGCCCTCACGAGGTAGAAGATGGGGGGAGGGAGGAAGGCCCTCACGAGGTAGAAGATGGGGGGAGGGAGGAAGGCCCTCACGAGGTAGAAGATGGGGGGAGGAAGGCCCTCACGAGGTAGAAGATGGGGGGAGGAAGGCACTCACGAGGTAGAAGATAGGGAGGGCGTCGAGCGAGTTGTAGAAGACGAGCGCGATGGTGAAGCCCGTGACGGCGAAGCGGTTCTGCAGCCCCGCCGTGTCGAACCCCGCGTGCAGGAAGAGCGTCCCCATGATCACGCCCATCGCCACCTGGGGGCGCCGCACATGCACGGGCGGAAGGGGGCGGCAGGCAGGCAGGGGGGTGGTTGAGGCGTAGGAAGGAGGAGAGCCTCCTGGAGTGGAGTGTGCCTTGGACCGCCCGCACAGCAGAGGTTGGTAGGAAGGACACATGAAGCACACATGAAGCACACATGAAGCACACATGAAGCACACATGAAGCACACATGAAGCACACATGAAGCACGCGCTACCTACTGTGTAAAGCAAAGGGGACGACGAGGAAGGGCGCTTGAGCAAGAGGGGGGCGGGGGGGCGGGGGGGTGGGGGCGTGAGCTGACCATGACGAGGAGGCGCGAGAGCAGCAGGTCGGGGCTGCGCAGCAGCACCACGCAGCAGCGGTGCGCGAGAGTCACGGTCTCAGAAAGGGCGCTCGTGGCGTACTCCCACTCCTTCACCGCCTTGCCCTTGCTGCCCACCTGCGCGCTCCCTGTGTGCATGCCCGCTGCACTGCTGCACCCACTGCTCTCCCCGCTCCTCCTGCCCCCAAAGCACCCCTTGCCTTTGGCCAGCAGCCCCCCGAGCCTGTGCTTCGCGGCTGCCCCCAGGGAGGGTGCGGCAGGTGGGGCGTGTGGCGGTGTTGCGGAACCCTGATGTGTGTGACCCATGCGGCAGCAGTCAGGTCGGTTCACAAGTCATCAAGTAGTGGGCGGGAGGGCGAGCAACAAGGGCAGTTCAGGGAGGGGAAGCAAGACAATGGGTTCCGTGCAGGGCTGTGAATGTGTGTGTGTCCATGTGTCCATGTGTGTGCATGTGTGCATGCGTGTGTGTGCATGTGTGCATGCGTGTGTGTGTTTGACCGTGTGAATGAGTGCATTATGCCTCAGGAGCCCATTTCAATGAGGTCGCCCTGTGAGTGACGGACCTCACCTTGCAGTGAGCAGTGGCGATGCGGGGCAGCGTGTCCAGGGCGAACTCTAGAAGGTTCACCTGCCAACGGACATGGAGGGGTGGAGGAGTTGGTGCAGCACGTTGGGCGCGATGCACGACGACCGCACACCATGCTCCCACGGGTGCCAGCGCCATCCGCCTCATACAGCCTCATACGCAGCCCCGTGGGTCCGGAGTGTGCTCCTTAGCGCCTCACTCACACATAATGTAAGGAGGGGCATAAGTACCCCTTCAAGCCACATGGCACGCAGTGGGTGTGGGCAGCAGCACGGTGGGTGGGGAGAGCCAAGGAGGTGATCTCCCCTCTGAGCCACTCACATGCGGGGGCACGGGGTGGGAGAGTGCAGCGAGGTGGGCGCGCAGGGCGGCCGTGGGGCCGTGGAAGGCGGGGGCGCCATTGACGAGGAGGGCGAGGGCGTGCAGCAGGGCGATGATGCGGAACGACGGCTGGTGGATCGTCAGCACCACCGTGCGCCTGCCCTGGGGGGTAGGAGAGAGATGGGTTGGGAGCGAGGGGAGGGCGGAGGAGTGGCAGTGGAGAGCGATGGGGGGCTTAGTGGCGGCACGGAGGGACGGCTGGTGGACGGTCAGCACCACCGTGCGCCCACCCTTGGGGTTTGGAGGACGCGAGGGGGGTAGGTAGCAGAGGAGGCGGGTTAGAAAGTTGATGGTGTGGGTCTATACCTAGTACACTAGGCTTTGCCTCCATCTCATTTGTGAACCATCAACAACCACCTGCACCTCTGTGGTAGAAAAACACATGCACAATCACCTGAGCACCTGAAACAGCAGGAAGCACACCTGAAACAGCAGGAAGCACACCTGAAACAGCAGGAAGCACACCTGAAACAGCAGGAAGCACACCTGAAACAGCAGGAAGCACACCTGAAACAGCAGGAAGCACACCTGAAACAGCAGGAAGCACACCTGAAACAGCAGGAAGCACACCTGAAACAGCAGGAAGCAAAAAAAAAAAAAAAAAAAAAAACAGCAAAGCATACCTGAAACAGCAGGAAGCACACCTGAAACAGCAGGAAGCACACCTGAAACAGCAGGAAGCATACCTGAAACAGCAGGAAGCATACCTGAAACAGCAGGAAGCATACCTGAAACAGCAGGAAGCACACCTGAGCAGCCATGTGGTGCAGCAGCTGCACCACCTTGAGTGCTGAAGAGCTGTCGAGACCTGCGAGTGGATGGGCGGGAGGGAGGTGGTTGAGGGATATGAGAGAGCCGGGGGCCGTGCTGGACAGGGACGTGCTGGTGGTGTTGGCAAGGAGGCCGAAGAGGCCGTGAAAGACAACGCAACCAACCGGAGTGATGGGCAGTGAGTGAGGTCTAAAGAGTGATCACCTGAGGTGGGTTCATCTAGCAGCAGGCATCACCTGAGGTGGGTTCATCTAGCAGCAGGCATCACCTGAGGTGGGTTCATCTAGCAGCAGGCATCACCTGAGGTGGGTTCGTCCAGCAGCAGCACGGCCGGGTTGTGGATCACCTCCACGCCTATCGACGTGCGCCGCCGCTCGCCGCCCGACACACCGCGGTGCTGTGAGGGCCACGAGGCGGAAGAGGGGCGCAGGGAGAGGGAGAGAGAGGCGCGTGTGAAGGAGGAGTGGAGTTGGTGGAGGACAGGGGGCGAGAGGGTGGCGATGGACTGCGAACGCAGGAGGCATGCAGCGCGGCAGACAAGGTGCGCGAGCGAGGGCAGCACGAGAGAAGCATGCGGCCAGCACAGCTCAGGCAGGCATGACGCGTGGGTGGCGGGGCAGTGCGGTGAGGACAAGGGAGAGAGCAGCGAGCGGCATGCCGCAGGAACCACGGCGCGCCCACCCGCTCGTCCCCCACGGGCGTGTCGGCGCACGAGGTGAGCCCCAGCTGCTGCAGCAGCTGCTGCACGCGCCGCCGCCGCGCCGCAGGCGTCACTGTGGACGGCAGGCGCAGACGGGCCGCGAAGTCCAGCGTCTCGCGCACAGAGAGCAAAGCGAAAAGCGCGTCATCCTGAGGGCAGGGGGCGTGCGGGGCAGCGGCGGGTGGGGGGGTCGGGGGGGGGGGGAGGTGCAGGGGATAGAGAGCATGGTGGAGAGCATGGTGGAGTGCATGGTGGAGTGCATGGTGGAGTGCATGGTGGAGTGCATGGTGGAGTGCATGGTGGAGTGCATGATGGAGTGCATGGTGGAGTGCATGGTGGAGTGCATGATGGAGTGCATGGTGGAGTGCATGGTGGAGTCCATGGTGGAGTGCATGATGGAGTGCATGGTGGAGTGCATGGTGGAGAGCATGCATGCAGGGAGGGAGGGATTGCAGCACAGTGTGTTGGCAGGGCGATGGACAGGCGACGGCAGAGAAAGAGAGAGACGGGGCAAGGCAAGGGGAAGGGCGTGCGTTGAGAGGTGGTGTGGCAGAGGCACGAGACGAGCATGGCGTGGACTAGCTTGTGCGCACTGGCTGCCACCATCCACTCACTGACGCACCCATCCATGCTCCTCACATACCACACCCACCAGCGCCCCCCCACCTGCACCACACAAGCACCCCACCCACCCATCTGCACCCCCCACCTGCAGCACGTGACATGGGCACCCCACCCCCACCTGCAGCACGTAGGCGGAGTGCTTGCGGAAGCTGGGCGGCATGGGGCGGCCATTGACCAGGATGGAGCCGGACAGGCTGCCCGGGTGGATGCGGCAGCCAATGGCGTCCAACAGGGAGGTTTTTCCACTGCCCGAGGGCCCCGCCAGCGCCAGCAGCTGCCCGGGATGAGCCGCCACACTGACCCGGTGCAGAATGGTGCGACCCCCGGGGGGCTGGGGGGGGGGGGGTTGAGGGAGAGGGGAGAGGGGCGAGGGCAGAGGCAAGAGGGGAGAGGGGAGAGGGGAGAGCATAGGGGGGAGTGGGATGAGGCGCCACACTCACTCCATTCAAAATGGGTGCTGATGGGGGAGCAGGTGGAAGGAAGAGGGGCGAGGGGAGAGGGGAGAGGGGCGAGGGGAGAGGGGCGAGGGGAGTGAGGAGAGGGGCGAAGAGCGAGGGGAGAGGGGCGAGGGGAGAGGGGCGAGGGGAGAGGGGAGAGGGGAGAGGGGAGTGAGGAGGGAGCAGGCAGAGGGAAGGAGGGTGGAGGGGAGATGAGTGGGGAGAGAAGGGAGAGCGGGGAGGGGGTGAGGAGGGAGGTGGAAGAGGCATGGGCAGGAGAAGGAGGCAGTGAGCGGTAGAAAGAAAGAGAAGGTTCGGAGAAGGAATGAGGAGAGGAGTAACTGAAAACGTGTGTGCGTGCCTCCCTCTCTCCCTGCATGCGCTCCCCTCTCACTGTGTAGGTGAGGTCGACGGTCTGCAGATGGTACTGCTGCGTCACCCACCCGCCATCCCCCGCCCCGCCATCCCACCATGCAGCATCATCGCTGCCGTCGCGCCTACACACGGCAGCAGCAGCGGCGGCGGCAGGGGAGGGCCCGATGGGCGACCCGAATGCACGCCTCCCCCCGCCGCCCATGCCGCTGCATATCTCCGTGCTGACGTCACTGCTGATGTCCGTGGTGACGTCACTGGCAGCTAGCTCAATCCACGGCTGGGAGGGAGAGACAGCCGAGGCAGGGGAGACGGAGGAGGCAGGGGAGACGGCGGCCATGGCGGCAGCGGAGGCAGCAGCCATGGCGGCGGAGACGGACGGGGCGTCATGGGGGCCATGGCCTTGGGCACGGGCGTCCTCGCTGCGCCGCATCACTGCAGCGCACGCCGCCACATACTCCTCGCACATGCCCGCCGCGCCCCCTTTCCGCCCTCCGCTCCATCCCGCGTGCTCAGCATCATCGCTGCCGTCCTTGCTATGCGCATCCCCGCTATTATGGCCATCCGCGCCAGGCATGGTGTCCGAGGCGCAGGGGGAGGCGTCCTCGGCGGGGGGCGCGGGGTCGGAGGCGGGGACGAGCGCGGTGAGCGAGGGCGTGGGCGACGCGAAGGACGCGAAGCACGACAGGGGGCGCGCGGGAGGGTAGCGGTGGCGGGCAGCCATGGCGGGGAGGCGACTGGTGCGCGAGCAGTGGCAGTGCGAAGAGGGCGAGCAGTGGCAGTGCGAAGAGGGCGAGCAGCTGATGAGACGACGGAGAGGCTACGACGGGGTGGTGCGCGATTGCGCAGAGTGATCAGGCGGACGGCCGACGGCGAGACGAGTGCTCGGAAATGGATTCCAGAAGACTCGTCGTCGTAGGGTGCAGCGCGCAGACGCCACAGGCTCAGCGGTTCACTCGCTCCGACGACCGCATCCCGCGCGACGAACGCCCATCGGAGGCGCGGGAAGCAGAAAGCAGCAGCGGCGGGTTGTCCGACCCGCCAACTGCGCCCAGCAGCACCACCCCGTCGCTGTCGCGGCATCGGCGGCCAGCCGAGGGCCGACCGTCGCACTCCAAGGCCGAACGGCGGAGCATCCAGAACAGCAGCGGAGCGGAGCGGTCTCGTTCTTGGGAGACGCCAGCGCAGAATCGGGTGTGGCGGGCAGGCGGTGAGCGGCGGAGTGATGGCGACCACTAGCAGCGACACGGCGACGACGACGCTAGTCCGCCTCGATACTGACGGACGATGGTGACGGCCACGGCTATCCCCGGTTGGAAATGTCGCCATGACAGCCAACGGGGTAAATCGATTAGAAGCAGTTGTGAAGCACAAAGAAGAGAAGATATTATTCACAAAGACATCAAACCACCAAATTCGGGCTAAGAATGCGTGCATGTGATGGGTGTGTTCGGGCCCGTTCACAGAGATATTCATCTATTTATATTTTCGTCCTACAGTAGTTCACGAAACGAATGAAGCTTGAACACATCATGTATTGGAAAAAAATAAAATGAATTAAAACTACTTTGAAATAATTTTGGAACGAAGTACCTTTATTTCGATCTAGTGTGATTAAGGAAGACTTGTATTGTGTGACAACGCTATCATGTAAGAGGCTCGGTTGGAGCATAATTGTAAAAGAACCGTTGAGAGAGCAACGGTGCATCTGTTAGTGTGTACGAGTAGCATGTTGGAGCTGTTGAGGCCAGTTATCGAGCCAGTTTACCTACTACCTCGAATGCGCTGATTCTGAAGGCGTGTATCAAGTGCAAGGAAAACGGTCACCCGACGTCCCAGCGCGGTAGAGTACGTTTTCTCACGATCGAGAAGCTTCCTGTGCGTTCGGAAGCGGTGACTCGACGTCACAAGTGTGACGTCGTGCGATTCAGCTGCTTGATACACCCCCTAAGCAGTCGTCTCTCTGTCCTACCAGCCTCGCTACAATCACCCAGTTCAAGAGCCTCTTTCTGTGCGACCACGTGGCCACCATGCGCCAATGAGGAGCGCGGAATGATTCACGCGCACCAGCCATGGGTCGCCGTCTCCGCTAAGCGCCCGGGGCTATGGCGCCCCGCGGACGCCGCCATGCCTCCCGCAAAGGCGGCGAGCCCGGGCGCCAAGCCTCTGTCGCGGGGGCGGTGGCGGTCGGCGGGCGAGCGGTGGACGTGCAGCGCGATGGCGGCGGCGCAGATGGGCGTGGCGCTGCTGCTGCTGGCGGTCGCCGCCTCCTCGCTGTTCCTCCTCGGCTGCATCCGCCTCCCCTCCCGCCAGGTGCCTCCCCGCCCGCCAGGTGCTTCGCCCTCCCTCCCTCTCCCGCACTCCCCCGTCTCCCCCTCTCTCTCCCCCCCCCCCCCCCCGCGTCCACCTCCTTTTCCTTGCTCGCTCCGCTCGACGATCGTCTCTCCTCCCCTCCGTCGCCGGCATGCTTCTAAGAAGCCCTCCCTTCCCCCTTTTGTGCTGCCCGGCGCAACCCCCTCCATTTGTCGCTTGCTTCCGCATCAACCCACCTCCGCATGCATCCACAACAATCCCCTCCCCTCCCCTCCCCTCCCCTCCCCTCCCCTCCCCTTCCCTTCCTCCCCCTCCCCTTCCCCCTCCCCTTCCCCCACTCTCCTTTCCCCGCCATTCTGCTCGTCATCACCTGTCAATCGACCTGCATCCCTCCCCCCCCCCTCTCCTTCCCCCCCACAGGCGCTGTGGAACGTGGAGCTGCCGCACGAGCCCCTCGACGCCCGCTCCAACTGCTCCTCCGCCGCCCCCACCGTCGTCGTCAAGGCAAGCCCTAGGGACTCCCCCTCACCTGCTCTCCCCCGCACCTGCACTCCCCCTCACCTGCACTCTCCCCCTCACTCACCATGGCTACCACGCGCTCTACCAATTTCTGCCCCATTCCCCTCCTTGCTCCCCACAATCCATTTTCCCCATCATCCCCACAATCCATTTTCCCCATCCTCCCCACAATCCTCCCCACCCACACCCCCTCCCGCCTCCCACTCCTGTCTCCCGCCCCCGCAGACGAGCCTGTGGTACTCGGACCACGCGTTCCACGTGCCGCCCGTGTTTCCGCTGTGCACCATGGACGCCTGCTTCGACTTCTCCCGCTGCCCCGCCACGCCCGCCCACGAGCCCCTCGTCTACTCCTACTGGCCCGGCCCCAAGTACTTTGCAAGATTCAACTCCACCAGGTGCGCATTGGATTCCGCCAGGTGCGCATTGGATTCCGCCAGGTGCGCATTGGATTCCGCCAGGTGTTGATTTGTTTCTGCCAAGTGCTGATTCGATTCCGCCAGGTGCTGATTTGATTCTGCCAGGTGCTGATTTGATTCTTCCAGGTGCTGATTTGATTCCGCCAGGTGCTGATTGAATTCCGCACGGTGCTGATTTGATTCTGCCAGGTGCTGATTTGATTTTGCCAGGTGCTGGTTTGATTCTGCCAGGTGCTGATTTGATTCTTCCAGGTGCTGATTTGATTCTGCCAGGTGCTCATTTGAGTCTGCCAGGTGCTGATTTGATTCTGCCAGGTGCTGATTTGATTCTGCCAGGTGCTCATTTGATTCTGCCAGGTGCGCATGCCACCCGTTGCTCTATCAGTGTTATCATTCAATGCCCCTTGCCATCACCACCATCCCTTGCCATCACCACCATCCCTTGCCACCACCACCATCCCACCACATGCCACGACATGCCACCACTCGGCCGGCAGGTGGCACACGGACGACCCGTCCAAGGCGTGCTACTTCTTTGTCTTCATGTCGGCCGGCCAGCCGCACCACTTCAAAGACCTCCCCTACTGGGGGGAGGACGGCCAAAACCACGTGCTTATAAGGTACTGTTCACGTGCCTATAGAATAATACTTATTTGCGTGTAAGGTGGTGATACTTTATCTGTGTGTTTATCCATGAGATGGCATTTGAGCCGACTCAAATGTCATTTGATTCACGTGGACGTGTTGCCTCTGATGTGCTCTGTCTTGCTGTGCTGTGCTGCTCTGCCGTGCACTGAGCTCTGTTCTCACCTCACCATTCTCCTCCCTGCCCTTCCTCTCCCTCCCCTCCCCTTACCCCCCCCAGCTTCTCTGACAACTGGAGCGGCCCCCCAGCGTGGAGTGTGGGCAAGGCGGCCCTCATGCTCACAGCAGCGCACCTCACGGTGCACCGCGCCACGTTCGACGTCTCACTGCCACTGCCACCCACGTGGAAGCGCCAGGCGACGGGGCTGCGGCCGCTGGGTGTGGCGCAGCGGCGGTACTTTCTGACGTTCATGGGGACGCGGTACCTGGGGTCCATGCACGGCAGCTTCCGCAGCTCCAAGGCCTTCAAGGCGCTGCACAACGGCAGGGACGTCGTCGTCGTCACGCAGTGCGGGTGAGGCGATGGGCACTGTGGGTTGGCACACAGTTAGTACGAGCTAAGTATCTCAGCTCCCCGTCGCCAGCTGGCAGGCACCTATCCCCCTCCACGTCACTTGTCATGGCTTTAACCATCCAAGTCCTTCACAACCCCTCCCCCCCCCCTCTCTCGCAGGGGCTCCACGAACCGGCGGATAATGGAGGAGGACCCGTCGCTGCTGCCGGAGTGCGCGGCGGACGCAGCGGTGTTCCGGTCCTTCTCGTACCCCGCCCTCATGAACACCTCCTTCGCCCTCGTCCCCGCCGGCCGCCAGGCCTCCACCTACCGCTTCGTAGAGGTGGGTGGGTCCCACAGACAGGCCTCCACGTACCGCTTCATAGAGGTGGGTCCTTGATGCCTGTGAGAGGGTTTGGCTTTGAGAGGTGCTCGTGAAAGGTGTGGGTGAGAGAATCATGGAAAGCTGGGTGAGTGAGAGAATGATGAAAATTCTGGGTGAGCGAATGATGATGAGAGCGGGATGAGTGGGTGGGTGAATGCATGAGTGTGGATGAGAGGGAATGGGTGAGTGAATGTCGGTGAGACTGGATGAGAGGGTGTGAATGAGCGGGTGTCAGAGAGCATGCAGAGCATGCAGAGCATGGAGAGCATGGAGAGTATGCAGAGCATGGAGAGCATTCAGAGCATGGAGAGCATGCAGAGCATTCACAGCATGCAGAGCATTGAGAGCATGCAGAGCATGCAGAGCATGGAGAGCATGCAGAGCATGGAGAGCATGCAGAGCATGCAGAGCATGGAGAGCATGCAGAGCATGGAGAGCATGCAGAGCATGCAGAGCATGGAGAGGATGGAAAAGAGCCCCCCATGTGGGGCTGCTCCATTGGAGCGCCGGTTGGTCGGTACGCACAGCAAAAGCGCGCCACAGCAGTGGATCCACCCCGGGGGAACGAGCTCGCCATGGTGTGCTTCAATGATTGGAGCGCTCAAGCGCAGGCACCGCCAATGGCTACAGCTGCATCCCCCTGGGTCCCTGACACCGGGCCGGGCAGCACGCTTGCAGCTCCCGCAGGCAAGCCGATTCCCAATGCGCGGTCATCTGTGTTGTTGCCCCATGCTGTTCTGGAGCTTTCGGTGGGACAGCAAGCACCGCTGGGCGGCGAGAACGCTGCCGTTAAGAAGATCATCCCACAGCTTGCAGTGGCGGAGGGGGAGGCGGTGGCGCAGATGGCACAGCAAGGCCCACAGCAAGGCACACAGCACGGCACACAGCAAGGCCCTCAAGGGCGGCTGCCTGCTGTCAGACCTCGGGCCCGTGGAACCAATGCTGGGCCACCGGCGGGCGCTGTGAACGCCGCGGCATATTGACCGCAGGCAGTTAGCGCGCTCGCGCATTCAGCAGGGGAGCAGCAGCAGCAGCAGCAGCAGTGGTGTCCTCCACGGCCCTAGCCCCACCAGGAGCTGGCCCTGGGCCGGTGCCATGCTTCACAGAACGCTTCTCCTGCCACTCCAGCGACCCCCCTACAATTGTACACCTTTGTGGCGGCCCCACACCGTGTCATCCCGCGCTCACAGTCGGAATCGCAGCGCTCTTGGAGCCAGGCAGCGCTGCGGGTCACACGTGGCGGCCTCGCCTTGACAAACTGGGGAGCTGAAGGCGGTTTCTGCCACCTCACCCTACGGCACTCTCTGCCCGCCTCCTCAACGGTTTGCAGATCGCCCTTCACCCCTCGGCCGCAGACCTCCTCCCCCAGGTCAACAAGCCCACTTCCAGGGAAGGTCGGCCGCCCCGTGCTGCTCGCAAGCGCTGAGGCGGCGCCACCCACCACGGCTCTGGCGTCGTACAGCGGGGCGCTCAAGCTCCGACCCTATCACCGTGCACCATGTGGTGGCGCTCCAAGTGCTCTCCGCCACCTGCGCTGGCCTCCTCTTGCTGGCGTCCAGTGGGCAAGTCAACGGCACGTGCCTCACTTGAATACCGCAGCGCGAACTGATCAGCGAGGAGGCGGCTGTGGGCGGCATCAGCAGGCCGTGACGACCGGTGACCTGCACCGTGGCACAGAGCCTCTCCTTGTCCTCCCTTAGGAAGGCTGGCGGCTCTTGATGGTCAGGACTTTCCCTTGCCTCTGCCCTCCTGCCTCAGCGTTGCAGCTGTTGCCTTTCACCACGCCGTGCTGCTTCCGCCTCTCCTTGTCCTCCCATCGTCTCCCTTCTTCCTCCCATCGTCTCCCTTCTTCCTCCCATCGTCTCCCTTCTTCCTCCCATCGTCTCCCTTCTTCCTCCCATCGTCTCCCTTCTTCCTCCCATCGTCTCCCTTCTTCCTCCCATCGTCTCCCTTCTTCCTCCCATCGTCTCCCTTCTTCCTCCCATCGTCTCCCTTCTTCCTCCCATCGTCTCCCTTCTTCCTCCATCGTCTCCCTTCCCCCCTCTCCCTTCCCCCATCGTCTCCCTTCTTCCTCCCATCGTCTCCCTTCTTCCTCCCATCGTCTCCCTTCTTCCTCCCATCTCCCCCCCCCCCCCCCCCCCCGTCTCCCTTCTTCCTCCCATCGTCTCCCTTCTTCCTCCCATCGTCTCCCTTCTTCCTCCCATCGTCTCCCTTCTTCCTCCCATCGTCTCCCTTCTTCCTCCCATCGTCTCCCTTCTTCCTCCCATCGTCTCCCTTCTTCCTCCCATCGTCTCCCTTCTTCCTCCCATCGTCTCCCTTCTTCCTCCCATCGTCTCCCTTCTTCCTCCCATCGTCTCCCTTCTTCCTCCCATCGTCTCCCTTCTTCCTCCCATCGTCTCCCTTCTTCCTCCCATCGTCTCCCTTCTTCCTCCCATCGTCTCCCTTCTTCCTCCCATCGTCTCCCTTCTTCCTCCCATCGTCTCCCTTCTTCCTCCCATCGTCTCCCTTCTTCCTCCCATCGTCTCCCTTCTTCCTCCCATCGTCTCCCTTCTTCCTCCCATCGTCTCCCTTCTTCCTCCCATCGTCTCCCTTCTTCCTCCCATCGTCTCCCTTCTTCCTCCCATCGTCTCCCTTCTTCCTCCCATCGTCTCCCTTCTTCCTCCCATCGTCTCCCTTCTTCCTCCCATCGTCTCCCTTCTTCCTCCCATCGTCTCCCTTCTTCCTTCTTTTTCCTCCCATCGTCTCCCTTCTTCCTCCCATCGTCTCCCTTCTTCCTCCCATCGTCTCCCTTCTTCCTCCCATCGTCTCCCTTCTTCCTCCCATCGTCTCCCTTCTTCCCTCTTCCTCCCATCGTCTCCCTTCTTCCTCCCATCGTCTCCCTTCTTCCTCCCATCGTCTCCTTCCCATCGTCTCCTTCCCCCTCGTCTCCCTTCTTCCTCCCATCGTCTCCCTTCTTCCTCCCATCGTCTCCCTTCTTCCTCCCATCGTCTCCCTTCTTCCTCCCATCGTCTCCCTTCTTCCTCCCATCGTCTCCCTTCTTCCTCCCATCGTCTCCCTTCTTCCTCCCATCGTCTCCCTTCTTCCTCCCATCTCCTTCTTCCTCCCATCGTCTCCCTTCTTCCTCCCCCCCCCCCCCCTCGTCTCCCTTCTTCCTCCCATCGTCTCCCTTCTTCCTCCCATCGTCTCCCTTCTTCCTCCCATCGTCTCCCTTCTTCCTCCCATCGTCTCCCTTCTTCCTCCCATCGTCTCCCTTCTTCCTCCCATCGTCTCCCTTCTTCCTCCCATCGTCTCCCTTCTTCCTCCCATCGTCTCCCTTCTTCCTCCCATCGTCTCCCTTCTTCCTCCCATCGTCTCCCTTCTTCCTCCCATCGTCTCCCTTCTTCCTCCCATCGTCTCCCTTCTTCCTCCCATCGTCTCCCTTCTTCCTCCCATCGTCTCCCTTCTTCCTCCCATCGTCTCCCTTCTTCCTCCCATCGTCTCCCTTCTTCCTCCCATCGTCTCCCTTCTTCCTCCCATCGTCTCCCTTCTTCCTCCCATCGTCTCCCTTCTTCCTCCCATCGTCTCCCTTCTTCCTCCCATCGTCTCCCTTCTTCCTCCCATCGTCTCCCTTCTTCCTCCCATCGTCTCCCTTCTTCCTCCATCGTCTCCCTTCTTCCTCCCATCGTCTCCCTTCTTCCTCCCATCGTCTCCCTTCTTCCTCCCATCGTCTCCCTTCTTCCTCCCATCGTCTCCCTTCTTCCTCCCATCGTCTCCCTTCTTCCTCCCATCGTCTCCCTTCTTCCTCCCATCGTCTCCCTTCTTCCTCCCATCGTCTCCCTTCTTCCTCCCATCGTCTCCCTTCTTCCTCCCATCGTCTCCCTTCTTCCTCCCATCGTCTCCCTTCTTCCTCCCATCGTCTCCCTTCTTCCTCCCATCGTCTCCCTTCTTCCTCCCATCGTCTCCCTTCTTCCTCCCATCGTCTCCCTTCTTCCTCCCATCGTCTCCCTTCTTCCTCCCATCGTCTCCCTTCTTCCTCCCATCGTCTCCCTTCTTCCTCCCATCGTCTCCCTTCTTCCTCCCATCGTCTCCCTTCTTCCTCCCATCGTCTCCCTTCTTCCTCCCATCGTCTCCCTTCTTCCTCCCATCGTCTCCCTTCTTCCTCCCATCGTCTCCCTTCTTCCTCCCATCGTCTCCCTTCTTCCTCCCATCGTCTCCCTTCTTCCTCCCATCGTCTCCCTTCTTCCTCCCATCGTCTCCCTTCTTCCTCCCATCTCCCCCCCTCCCATCGTCTCCCTTCTTCCTCCCATCGTCTCCCTTCTTCCTCCCATCGTCTCCCTTCTTCCTCCCATCGTCTCCCTTCTTCCTCCCATCGTCTCCCTTCTTCCTCCCATCGTCTCCCTTCTTCCTCCATCGTCTCCCTTCTTCCTCCCATCGTCTCCCTTCTTCCTCCCATCGTCTCCCTTCTTCCTCCCATCGTCTCCCTTCTTCCTCCCATCGTCTCCCTTCTTCCTCCCATCGTCTCCCTTCTTCCTCCCATCGTCTCCCTTCTTCCTTCCTCCCATCGTCTCCCTTCTTCCTCCCATCGTCTCCCTTCTTCCTCCCATCGTCTCCCTTCTTCCTCCCATCGTCTCCCTTCTTCCTCCATCGTCTCCCTTCTTCCTCCCATCGTCTCCCTTCTTCCTCCCATCGTCTCCCTTCTTCCTCCCATCGTCTCCCTTCTTCCTCCCATCGTCTCCCTTCTTCCTCCCATCGTCTCCCTTCTTCCTCCCATCGTCTCCCTTCTTCCTCCCATCGTCTCCCTTCTTCCTCCCATCGTCTCCCTTCTTCCTCCCATCGTCTCCCTTCTTCCTCCCATCGTCTCCCTTCTTCCTCCCATCGTCTCCCTTCTTCCTCCCATCGTCTCCCTTCTTCCTCCCATCGTCTCCCTTCTTCCTCCCATCGTCTCCCTTCTTCCTCCCATCGTCTCCCTTCTTCCTCCCATCGTCTCCCTTCTTCCTCCCATCGTCTCCCTTCTTCCTCCCATCGTCTCCCTTCTCCTCCCATCGTCTCCTTCTTCCTCCCATCGTCTCCCTTCTTCCTCCCATCGTCTCCCTTCTTCTCCCTTCTTCCCCCATCGTCTCCCCTTCTCTCCCCTCCTCCATCGTCTCCCTTCTTCCTCCCATCGTCTCCCTTCTTCCTCCCATCGTCTCCCTTCTTCCTCCCATCGTCTCCCTTCTTCCTCCCATCGTCTCCCCTTCTTCCTCCCCATCGTCTCCCTTCTTCCTCCCATCGTCTCCCTTCTTCCTCCCATCGTCTCCCTTCTTCCTCCCATCGTCTCCCTTCTTCCTCCCATCGTCTCCCCTTCTTCCTCCCATCGTCTCCCTTCTTCCTCCCATCGTCTCCCTTCTTCCTCCCATCGTCTCCCTTCTTCCTCCCATCGTCTCCCTTCTTCCTCCCATCGTCTCCCTTCTCCCCATCGTCTCCCTTCTTCCTCCCATCGTCCCCTTCTTCCTCCCATCGTCTCCCTTCTTCCTCCCATCGTCTCCCTTCTTCCTCCCATCGTCTCCCTTCTTCCTCCCATCGTCTCCCTTCTTCCTCCCATCGTCTCCCTTCTTCCTCCCATCGTCTCCCTTCTTCCTCCCATCGTCTCCCTTCTTCCTCCCATCGTCTCCCTTCTTCCTCCCATCGTCTCCCTTCTTCCTCCCATCGTCTCCCTTCTTCCTCCCATCGTCTCCCTTCTTCCTCCCATCGTCTCCCTTCTTCCTCCCATCGTCTCCCTTCTTCCTCCCATCGTCTCCCTTCTTCCTCCCATCGTCTCCCTTCTTCCTCCCATCGTCTCCCTTCTTCCTCCCATCGTCTCCCTTCTTCCTCCCATCGTCTCCCTTCTTCCTCCCATCGTCTCCCTTCTTCCTCCCATCGTCTCCCTTCTTCCTCCCATCGTCTCCCTTCTTCCTCCCATCGTCTCCCTTCTTCCTCCCATCGTCTCCCTTCTTCCTCCCATCGTCTCCCTTCTTCCTCCCATCGTCTCCCTTCTTCCTCCCATCGTCTCCCTTCTTCCTCCCATTCTGCCTCCCTCTCCCCCCCCCCCCCAGGCGCTGACAGCAGGCGCCATCCCGGTGGTGGTGGCGGACAACTGGAAGCTGCCGTTAGACGACATCATCCCCTGGCACCGCTGCCTGCTGCTTTTCCCCACCCACCAGCTCCCCCGCATCCTGCCCTCCCTGCGCTCCATCCCCCCGGTATCCCCCCCACCCTCTGCTCTGTCAAATGGTTTCACATGCCCTGTGCTGCTGTGATGGTCTCCTTTGCTGTCACACATTGCATCAATAAGGTCGTCTTATATAGCACCCGTGCCATGTTTGTTGTGGATGTGATGCATCGATGTCATGTGCAAGCTATGGTGTCATGTGCAAGCTATGGTGTCATGTGTGAAGCTATGGTGTCATGTGTGAAGCTATGGTGCCATGTGTGAAGCTATGGTGCCATGTGTGAAGCTATGGTGCCATGGGTGAAGCCATGGTGCCATGTGTGAAGCTATGGTGCCATGTGTGAAGCTATGGTGCCATGTGTGAAGCTATGGTGCCATGTGTGAAGCTATGGTGCCATGTGTGAAGCTATGGTGCCATGTGTGAAGCCATGGTGTCATGTGTAAGGCCATGTCATGCCATGTAGCCATGCATCACACCATGCCATCAGGGCCAAAACTTGAAGGGTGAAGTACACTGATCACCCTTTCCAGCGGCTGCCTTTTTTAGGATTACCCGAATTTTGAAGGGGTGAATATTTTGTGACCCTTACCAAAAGGGCGTAGCTTCTTTTTACCCTGCTGTGGCAAGGGTTTGCAGAGTTTTTACCCTGGCCAAGCATGGCATGCATTACACCATGCCATGCAGCATGGCTACCCTTCCCTCCCATGTGCTTGGCTCATCCCATCTGTGCTCCCCCCCCATCCCTTGCTGCACCCCTCTCGTCCCAATCTGCAGCAAGCGGCTGAGAAGCGAAGGCAGCGCTGCGTGTCCATCTTTGAGGAGTATTTAGCATCAGATGACATTCTCATGCGATCAGCCATGACTGCTCTCAAGTCTCATGCAGGGGGGATGTTCCCGTTATGAACCAATGCAGTTAATTGGTATGCAAGCTTGAAAGCTCCAGTGTGTGTTTCCTTCAGAGCTTTGAGTCACGCTGTGCATTGGGGAATCAGTGCAGGCTGTAGCAGTGTGCGGAGGGTGCACAGCGCACAGCGCACTGAGGGTACAACTGCTCCTGCCACCATCCACCACACTTTCAGAGCGTGCCGCTGCAGTGGGGCATGAGCACATGCTCATGCCCAGCCACCCACTCTCGCCATCAGTTTTCAGCTCTCTTGCCATGTGCTCAGCCATGCACATGGCGAGATAGGATGATTTGGCCTACACGCTGCAGAGCAGAGTGCATATTGCCCCAGGTTGGCTGATGGGGACAACAGTTTGATCTCATGATCGCATGCACGTGCGATGATCTGCTGGTGCAAGCAGTGAACACTTCAGTTCTCCTCTAGCCACATATTGCATTCATCACCTATACACAGCCTACTACCCAATCAGCATTCCCGCAATCCCTATCAATGTGACTTCAGAAGCTGTGGCTCCCACATTGCTCTGCACGAGCAAATCCTTTGGGGCGCATTCCCATGTTGCATGGGCGGGCCCTAACCTACGGTAGACATGGAGCCGGCTGCCCCTTGGCTGTTCAGTTGATGTGCGCCACGCGGCGCACTTGGATGTGGTGCGTGGACTCGGAGCGCCAGATGGGCTGCCGCCCGCTCTGCACCAGCGCCACGTCCTCGCCCGGCTGCACCATGCCGCGCTTCTGATGACCCGCGCACAGGGGGGAGTGGGGGGCAAGGCGGGGCAGGGCAGGGAAGGGGCAACAGGTGAGGGAAGGGATCGGGTGTCTGCCGCCCTTGAGCAGAGCCACATCGCCCGTGGCCCGCGGCATGCTGCGCGTCTCATGGGAGCAACGCCAGTGAGGCTGGACGTGTCGGGAAGAAGGTCCAAAGAGGCGGGAGAGGTGCACGCGAGAGACAGAGAGGTGCAGGCGGTGGAGAACAGCTGGTGTGCAGGTCCAGTGTCCAGCATACAAGAGGATGCACAGAAGATGCTCTTGTCCCTATGCAGCCCACCAGCAGGATGATGCAGCAAGAGAGAGAGCACCCACCAGCAGGATGCGCAGCGCCTCATTGAAGGTGTCCTCAGCGTCGGCGGAAAAGGGCATGTAGAGCGCCCTCACCCCGTGGTACAGCGCCAGGTGCTGCTGCACGCGCTTGCTGCCAAGAGGGGGAGGAGGGGGGGGGGGGGAGAGGAACAGCGGGGAGCGGACAGGTGCATTTGAAAGGGGGGTGAAGGGGAGACAATGTATGACTGCATGCAGCTGCGCGTGTGAGTCAAGGGGGTGAGGTGTGCATGCATGTGCGTGAGTGATCGTGCATGCATGGCAACTGACTCGTTGGTGAAGGCATAGGTGATGCCGGCGGGGCGGTAGTGCGAGAGCAGCATGGCCATGAAGCCCGAGCGGGTGAAGACGAGCACGGACGCGCCCAGCGTGTTGGCCATCATGGTGGCGTGAAACGCAAACATCTCACTCGTGTGCCGCTGGGGAAGGCGGGGGAGGGGGGCAGTGGGAGGGGGAAGAGGAGGGGGGGAGTGCAGATGGTACAGAGGGGGAGGAGGAGGAAGCAGGGGACGTGGGGAATGCAGGCGAACAAGGGAAGGGCAGAGCGGAGAGAGGGTGCCAGGTGGAAGAAGACGGGGTTGTGGAAGCAATGGTGGCACGCAAAGAAGCACAGCGCGTGCGGCATGGAAGACCGCTACCTTGAATGCTCTGCCAAGGTTGGCGGGCGTGTTGGGCACGGCCATGGTCGCCTCAGTGCGCACCGCCACTGTGTGCATCACCCGCACCGCCTTCAGGGGGAACCTGCAGGCAGGTATGGGCACACGCAACACCACACGTGCATCACACCCTTGACATCCTTGAGGTCATTTGTTGAGACTGCAATGTACAGAAACAGAAGGTATTTGACAAAAGTTCATTAAATAAAACGTACTGATTACCCAAGGCAAAGTCGATTACCACAAGGCATAAGCGACTACCCCTTCAATCTCTATGCGGAAGGTTCATTGACCTGCTGCATGCCCGGAACTCACTTGCCGTGGGCCGTCTCCCCCGACAGCATGATGGCGTCCGTGCCCTCCCTCACCGCGATTGCAATGTCCGACACCTGCATGCGCGCAAAGGTGGTGAGACAACAGGCATGCAGATGCGGGCATGGCAGAGATGGGAGCATGGCAGAGATGGGAGCAGGACACGGCAAGAGAATGGGAATCAAGGCGGAGGAAGACATGGGACAGATATCATGGGGCAGATATAGTGGGGCAGATGTTATGGGGCAGGAAAAGAGGAGGAAGGGGGAGGAGGCAGGAGAGGAGAGAGGGCCTGACCTCGGCACGGGTGGGTGTGGGGTGGTTGATCATGGACTCGAGCATGTTGGTAGCCACGATCACCGGCTTGCCCAAAGCACGGCACACTCGGATGATCTCGCCCTGCTCGTAGCGCAGGATGACCCATGAGCATGATGCGCCACACATGATGCAACATGCATAATCCACGACGCACCATGCACAATCCACCATGCACCATGCACAATCCACCATGCACCATGCACAATCCACCATGCAACATGCACAATCCACGACGCATCATGCACCATGCACCATGAATCATGCGCCATGCACGATACAAGTGGTAGTTCACACAGTGCACCAAGGGGGAAAAGGGGGAGCGCAGAAGAATACACGACTAGTCCATTAACCCACAGCAAAAGCAGCAGCCAGCCTGCAGCAGAAGCAGGTTTAAAGCAGCAGCAGGACGGTCAGTGTGTGCTCGAAGTGCGCACAAGGAACAAGCAGCGCGCAGCTCACCTGCAGCAGCGGCACCTCCTCCACCGGCAGCTCTGCTCCCAGGTCACCGCGGGCCACCATGGCCTGCCACAGGGGCGGGGGGGGGGAGGGGTAGAGAGATTGAGAGGGGGTTAAGGAAGAAGGAAGGGATGGAGGGTGGGGTGCGCGAGGGAGGGGGTGGGAAGGGAGAGCGAAGGGGGTAAAGGAGAGTTGAGGAGAAGGAGAATGAGGACGAGAGCAGGCCAGCAAGCGCTGGCATGGACGCGTTTGAGAAGGGTGGCGATGGAAACAAGAGACAAATTCGCATGCAGCGGTTGAGGCGGGGGAAGGTGGGGCAGGTGACGGGAGAAAGGATGCAGATGGGAGAAACCAAACCAACATGGCCAGTCCCCCCAAACCCTCCCCCCCCCACCAGTCCCATGTCCTCCCTCCTCCCCCTCCCCCCCACCCTCCTTGCCCCCCATCCCCTCGGGTACCCCATCGGAGGCCTCGAGGATGGCATGCAGGTTGGGCACAGAGTCAGCGCTCTCGATCTTGGCGATCACGCCGATGTCCGCTCCCTGGCCTGGTGGGGCGGGTGCGGTGGGATTGGGTGGGAAGGAATGGGGTGGGATGTGAGGAGGCACGAGGTGGGGTGCGTGCGTAACACCACACCTCGCACAACAAGGCTTTGAAAGGAGTCAGCGCTCTCCATCTTAGAAATCGCCCCAACGTCTGCACCCTGACCTCGCCTGATGTCGACTCAAATGCACCCTGACCTCGCCTGATGGGCAGTGAGATGAGAAATGCGGTGAAACTAGAAGATTTCATTTCAAGCGTTTCGGGTTTAAGGTTTACGGTATGTGATGCCATACGATGCCACGTGATGCCATGTGATGCCATGTGATGCCATGCGATGCCGCCTACCCTTGAGGTACTCCTTGAGCTGCAGCACCACCTACCCTTGAGGTACTCCTTGAGCTGCAGCACCACCTGCGCGTCCTTGACGAAGGAGAGCGCGTAGTAGTCCACCTTGTTCTCCACGCCGAACCGGATGTCCTCCCAGTCCTTGTCTGCGCGGTGATGGAGGGCGGCGACCAGGGGGAGAGTAGGGGAGTGTGAGAGAGAAACCAAGAGGGGAAAGTGAGTGAGTGGAAGTAAGAGGGAGCATAGTAGTCCCCTTTTTTGGCAGGGGAGTGAGAGAGAGGGTGAGTGGGTGCAATGCCCTCACCTTGAACGGGCGGCACAACGATCCCTGGGCGGTGCACTGACCGGTGATGGAGGGCAGCGTGGCGGACTTGCCGCGCACGTTGAGGTGGCGGCGCGACTTGAGCTCGCCCCCGTCCACCACCTCGCACACCACGTCCTCCGCCGTCTTGCTCTTCACCTGGAACGACATCATGCCACCTGAGGAAGAGAGAGGGCGAGGGGCGGAGGTGAGGGGCGCATGGGTGTGTGAGGGAGCAGCGCGGCACAAGTTCTCTCCGTCCACCACCGCGCACACCACGTCCTCCGCCGTCTTGCTCTTCGCCTGGGGGAGGGAAAGTGGGCGGGGAGAGGAGGGGGAGGGAGGGGGGGTTGGTGGTGAAGGAGAGGGGCAGGGGTGTGCACGAGGACGGGGGGTGTGCACGTTTGAGTTAAAATGAATTAAGCGTTGAGAGCAGAGGGTGGGGATGCCAAGAAGATGGCGTGGTTTGGTGAAGAGCAACAAGAGAGACGCCACTTCTGAGCCGCTTCGGCACATGTCATCATGCCTCACCATCCACGAGGATGATGTCATCGACGTCCACGTCATCGATAAAGCCATCATAGTTGACGCTGACGGTGCGGTCTGTGCCGACACCGCGGCGGATGGTGAAGGTGAAGCCCTCCCCGCGCTCCAGCTCTATCGGCTGCGGCAGGTCGCCACTGCGCACCTCGGGGCCCTGGGGAGAGAGGAGGGGTGGGGGGAGGAGGGGATAGGAGTGTGGGGAGAGAGAGGGCGAGAGGGGTCAATGGTGAACAACTTCCCCTGCAGCAGGGGGAGGAAGAGAGGGAGAGCAGGAGAAAGGGCGAGAGGGCGCGAGGGCGGTAGAGAGGGAGGAAGGGGGGGGAAGGGGGGGAGGCAGACGGGGAGACGAGTGGGGAGGGGGGGAGGGGGGCGGGGGGAAAGGGGGGAGAAGGGGGGGGGGAGGGGGGATGCTTGACCTTGGTGTCCAGCATGATGGCAGCACGCACCTTGGTGTCCAGCATGATGGCAGCACGCACCTTGGTGTCCAGCATGATGGCAGCACGCACCTTGGTGTCCAGCATGATGGCAGCACGCACCTTGGTGTCCAGCATGATGGCAGCACGCACCTTGGTGTCCAGCATGATGGCGAGCACGTTGCCGGCGCCCTGGCTGGCCTGGCCCTTGTTATACTCGCGCACGAGGTCGACGACGCGGCGGTGCGAGGCGTGGTCGCCGTGGCTCATGTTGAGGCGCACCACGTTCATGCCCGTCTCCGCCAGCTTCCACAGCATCTCGCGCGTGTTGCTGCCACAAGGTGGTGGGGGGGGGGGAGAAGCGGAGAGAGGCGGGAGGGGGAAGAGAGAGTGGTTCAGGGCAGGCGAGGGGGGGAGTGGAGTGGAGGGCGGGAAGGAAGGATAGAGGCGTGTTGCAGCCAGGTGGATCCACCGGCAGGAGGTCCGTTCTTCACAAATAGCGACAACTCACCTCGTGGGCCCACAATTCCCCCTGGTGGATTCACCTGGCAGAACCGCTGACCCGCCCTCTAGCGGCGCACCGGGTGGGGCCGCCCTCTAGCGGCGCGCCTGGTGGGGCCGCCCTCTAGCGGCGCACCGGGTGGGGCCGCCCTCTAGCGCCGCACCTGGTGGGGCCGCCCTCTAGCTGCGCACCTGGTGGGGCCGCCCTCTAGCGCCGCACCTGGTGGGGCCGCCCTCTAACGCCGCACCTGGTGGGGCCGCCCTCTAGCGTCGCACCTGGTGGGGCCGATGGTGCAGACGATCTTGGTCTTGCGTTGGTACGTGGACTGCTGCGTGGCCGCCACGTCCGAGTCCATCAGCACCTGCCGCTCCGTCTGCTGCGCCGCCGCTGCCGCCGCCGCCGCCTCCATGTCGCGCACGAACGCCGCCTCCTCCGCCGCCGCGCGCTGGCCCTGGTACGAGTAGTAGCTGGGCGGAAGGGAGGTGTGGGGGGAGGGGGGAGGGGGAGGGGGGGAAACGGTGGGGGAAGCAGGTAAGAGGCCAGTGATGGGTTGGCAGGGCAGGGGGCCTTGGTTCAGGGGAAGCGCGTCTCAGGCGAGGTTCGGGGGATGGGAGGTACGGCGAGAACAAGCGAGCGGGTTGAAGGCAAGGGAACGCGGCGAGGAGGATGTGGTGGCTCGCGGTGCAGCGGGAGATGACTGAACGCAGCCCGCGGGGGAACACGAACGCCCTGCGCCAAGCGTGAAGGTATGGCATCCTGCGGAACGCGAATGAATCCACCGGGATGTGCAGATCTCGCGACAGGAGATCGGATCGACTGCCGCGGAAACGGGAAGACGGCGTCCGTACAGGCAGCGCAGGACCACGCTCTTTTTTGCGAGCCATCAGCCTTGATTTTTCGGCATACTTCGACCAAGACCCGCCGAGATATCTAAGTGGCGCCCGAGACCGAACGCGCGCATCGTATTTTCCAGTCGTACTCGTGTTTCGAGGCGGCCCAACGCGAAAGATCTGAAGATGAAATCGCGAGCGCAGCAGCATGCTCGCTGCCGCCGACTCTCAATCTCGACCTCACTGTGACTCGCTATCTCAATCTCATTCGCAGTCTGCGTCTCCGCCTCACCCGCTAGCGCGTCTGCCGGACGCGCCGGTCTGAACCACGTCGTCGGCGGGGCTCACGGGCACCAGCGCGCCGATACCCGCCCCCTCGTCCTCCTCCCCCGCCCGCCGTCCCAACCGCCTTCGCGCATCCGCGCGCACACCGCACGTGCCGCTGCCGCTGCCGGGTCGCTGTGAGCCTCTCCCCTGGGGTGAAGGGACGCAAAGGGTGGTGGATGCGCCGCGTGTCTCGCCGTGGGAGGCGGGGAGGGCGCGAAGGCCCGCGAAGGACGCGAAGCTGACCGCAGCGAGGGCCGCCATGGCGGACAGGCGGAGACACTTGAATGGATTTGGTGAGATTCACGAGTGTGGTGCGAGGCGTTGGACAGAAAAATGGAAATATGACCTGGCTGCAGATGACGAATTACGTATGCACTTGGGCTTGAAGGTCTGGGTTGGGTTGGGAGCAAGGCTTGTATGCCCCAAAAATGATTTTCGTCTCTTGTTGGGGCTGGCGATCTCAAATGAGAGAGTGGTAGCCCTCGTTAGGCTTTCGTCGCGAGCGAGGCGACAACAAGGGGAACCCCACACCTGGCTTTATGTCAGAACAGAACCATCAATCGAAGGAGCTTGCAGTCTGTTTGTGATACAATCGCGAGGCTGGCTGACACCACTTTGTGGGGAGGGATCAGGTCGAATAAGGGGATGGAATCACTACATGACGTGGCGGCTATAGTGGTGACGAGGAGGATGGACCACCCGTGACAGTCAGACACGCGTCGGAAAAGTTCATCGTTGACCCTCAACTGACGTGGGAAGGACTCTCGTTTTCAACGTTCAACTAAGGTTCACCGATTAACAGCCTGGTTACGACTAAAAAAAAAACTCATTAAACTCACTGATAAACAGCCTTCAGTTCATTCAACCATCTTCAGCTTACGTAAGCAAAATGCAGTGTGTTTCACACCAACTCAAACAGGTAAGAGTGACCTGAGGCCGAAATAACAATGTGATAAACAATGGACACTGAAATTAATCAAGCGTAGACCTTATATAGCTGAGCTAAAGTGAAGCTCTTGGAGATGGGCTAGCAAGTTTGGTTTCGGAAGCGTTTCTGCGTGATGGAAATGGTAAGAGGACGACACGTGGTGGTTGGGATGTTCAGGTGACGGCGCATAGCGCAGGGGCAAAAAAGTGACGCGTGGAGCGGCATCAGCGGTTCAAGTGTCGCAACCTCCCAGCTGGAGACTAGGACAACCTGTTAAATTATATATGTTATATAATTGTAGGCTTGGTAGGCGTTACTGAAACTTACTGTAGACGGTACAACACCCCTCCTTGTATCCCTCTCTCTTCTATTCTCGACCTCTTTTCTCACGTCAACTTTCTCCTAGCTAAACCATCTCGCCATTTTCATGGCTTCATAGCGTTCTAGTCTTTTAACATGGTATCAGAGCAGGTCGCCCTTCCCGGGCTTGCTCCCCACGCTTCCGCCGCGTACTCGTTCGTCGTTCGTCCCCGCCGGGCCGCCGTCGCGGCCATGCCGAGCAGTCGTTACTGCGTCGTGGTGCTGCCGTCGCAGCCCCGACGCGTGGCGTCGACGCCACACCGCTGCGACGGTCGTGCTGCCGTCGCAGCGTCGACGTCCCGCTGTGGCATCAACGCCGTGCTGTGGCGGCGTCGTAATGTTGCAGTGGCGGCGTCGTAATGCTGCGGTGGCGGCGTCGTCGGGCGGCAGTCGGCCGCGCAACGTCTGTGGCGCCGCCGGACCTGCTCCCCTTCTCTCTCACCCCCCTTCTCTCCCACTCCCCTTCTCTCTTAGGCTCCCCTTCTCTCCCGATCCCCTTCTCTCCTGCTGCCCTTCTCTCCCCCTCCTATTCTCTCCTGCTCCCCTTCTCTGCCTCTCCCCTTCTCTCTTAAGCTCCTCTTCTCTCTCTCTCCAATTCTCTCCCGCTCGCCTTCTCTCCCACTCCCCTTCCCTGCCTCTCCCCTTCTCTCAGGCTCCCCATTCCTCCATTCTCCCTTCTCCCCATCTCAAATTCTCTCCTCCTCACCGCTACTCTCTCGCCCCCCTTCTCTCCTGCTCCCATCCTCTCCCGCTCTCTTTTCTCCCGCTCCCCTTCTCTCCCACTCCCCCCATTTCCCGATTCCCTTCTCTCCTCCTCCCCTTCTCTCCCCCTCCCTTTCTCTCTCGCTCCCCTTCTTTCCTGCTCCCATTCTCTCCCGATCCCCTTGTCTCATGCTCCCCTTCTCTCCAACTCCCATTCTCTCCCGATCCCCTTCTCTGCCGCTCCCCTTCTGTCTTAGGCTCCCATTCTCTCCCACTCCCCTTCTCTCTTAGCCTCCCCTTCTCTCCCGCTCCCCTAATCTGCCTCTCCCCTTCTTTCACCCTCACATTCCCCCCCTTCACCCTTCTCCCCCGCTACAATTCTCTCCCCCTTCCCGCTCCTTTCTTGCTCCCATTCTCTCCCGCTCCCCTTCTCTGCCTCTCCCCTTCTCTCTCACTCCCCCTTTCTTCCGCTCCCCTTCTCTCCCGCTCCACTTCTCTCCTTCTCCCCATGTCTTCCGCTCCCTCTCTCTCTCGCTCCCCATCTATCTCGCTCCCCCTCTCTCTCGCTCCCTCCTTTCTTGCTCCCCTTGTCTCGGCCTCCCATTCTCTCCCGCTCCCCTTCTCTACCGCTGCCATCTCCCCCCCTTCCCGCTCCTCTCTCAATCCCCTTCTCTACTGCTCCCATCCTCTCCCGCTCCCCTTCTCTCCCGCTCCCCTTCTCTCCCGCTCCCCTTCTCTCCTGCTCCCTTTCTCTTCCACTCCCCACTTTTCCCGATCCCAGTCTCTCCTGCTCCCCTTCTCTCCCCCTCCCATTCACTCCCGCTCCCCCTCTATGCCGCTCCCGTTCTCTCTCCAGCTTCCCTTATCTCCAGCTCCTCTCCTCTCCCACTCCCCTCCTCTTCCACTCCCCTTCTCTCCCACTCCCCTTCTCTCTTAGGCTCCCATTCTATCCCGCTCGCCTTCGCTCCCGGTCCCCCTCTCTCATGCTCCCCTCCTCTCCCATTCCCCTTCTATCTTAGGCTCCCCTTCTCTCTTAGGCTCCCCTTCTCTCCCGCTGCCCTTCTTTCTCACTTCCCACCTTTTCCCGCTCCCCGTCCTCCCGCTCCCCTTCTCCCGCTCCCATTCTCTTTCGCTCCCCCTCTCTCCCGCTCTCCCTCACTCAAGAGCTCCCCTTCTCTCTCACTCCCCTTCTCTCGGCCTCCCATTCTCTCCCGCTCCCCTTCTCTCCTGCTCCCTTTCTCTCACACACCCCCCTTTTCCCGATCCCCTACTCTTCTGCTCCCCTTCTCTCCCCCTCCCATTCTATCCTGCTCCCCTTTTCTCTCGCTCCCCCTCCCTCTTAGGCTCCCCTTCTCTCCCGCTCCCCTTCTCTGCCTCTCCCCGAATCTCGGGCTCCCTTTCCTTCCCTTCTCCCTTCCCCCCAGCCAATATTCTCTCCCCCTCACCGCTCCTCTCTCGCTCCCCTTCTCTCCTGCTCCCCTGCACTCCCGCTCCCCGTTTCTCCCACTCCCCCCTTTTCCCGATTCCCTTCTCTCCTGCTCCCCTTCTCTCCCCCTCACCTTCTCTCCCGCTCCCCTTCTCTGCCTCTCCTCTTCTCTCCCACTCCCCTACTCTGCCTCTCCCCCTCTCTCGGGCTCACATTCCCCCCCTTCTCCCTTCTCCCCATCTACAGTTCCCTCCCCTTCCCAGCTTCTCTCCCGATCCCTTTTTCTCCCGCTCTCTCTCGCTCCCCTCCTCATCCGCTCTCTTTCTCTTCCGCTCCCTCTCCCGCACCCCTTCTCTCTCCCCCTCTCTCTTAGGCTCCCCTTCTCTCTTAGGCTCCCCATCTCTCTTATGCTCCCCTGCTCTTCCGCTCCCCCTCTCTCTCGCTCCCCTTCTCCCTCGCTCCCCTCTTCGCGCTTGGCGATATGCCTCTCGCCGCTGCGCTCAGCGCTAAGCTGGTCGCCACCGCACTCCGTGTAAACCGCTCGCCGCCGCGCTCGGCGCTAAGCCGCTCGCCGCCGCGCTCGGCGCTAAGCCGCTCTCCGCCGCGCTCGGCGCTAGGCCGCTCTCCCCCGCGGTCGCCGCTAGGCCGCTCTCCGCCGCGGTCGCTGCTAGGCAGCTCGCCGCCGCGCTCGCCGCTAAGGTTCTCGCCGCCGCGCTCGACGCTAAGGTTCTCGATGCCGCGCTCGCCGCTAAGGTTCTCGCCGCCACTCGCCACTAAGCTGCTCACCGCTAAGCTGCTTGCCGCCATAGCCAGCCGCTAAGCTGCTCGCTGCCGCACTCGCCTCTAAGCTGCCCGCATCCCGTGCTCCGCGCTAGCCTGCCTCATGAAGCCGAGATTAATGTCGCACGCATTGGCGCATTCACGGAGGGCCGGATGGCTGCCCTACGAAATCAAGTCGTCGTCTTTGTACCCCCTTAGCTGCGGGCTCGGGGTATGGCCCTAAAGGTCGTGTCTTGCGCCAGCATTTTAGCTGCATTCTCTTTATCCCGTTTGCCTACTTACAGTAGGGATGGCTCGGGGAGTCGGGCCGCGTCACAACCAGCGCGAGCTGCTGCTACGAGTTACGACCATAGGATTGTGCGCATTCCACGCAAGGGCGCTCTGCCTAGTGTGAAGTGTCCTCAGCCCTTTGGGCGGGAGTTGTGAACCTAGGTCCAACTTGAAATTCGAGTTGGACCTAGTTGAAACAGGCACAGACATGCGGGCTGCCCTACCATCGTGTGATGTTTTTGCTGCTGCGCATGTCTACGTGGATTCCTGTGCCTTGTTTCTGATTGGATGCAGGAGATGGTTGTTCTAGCTCACCAATCGCTGTCCTGCGCTACAGTTTTCCCTCCTACTCGGGGGTAAATAGTAACAGTGACTCTGAACCCCCTCGCCACGGGGCTTGGTCCCTTCACAACCCCCCTTTCAAGTTGAGCCCGCCTTCACTATTCTCCATTCTCGCTTTACTAGCGGGTCAGTGCGCCCATAGCACCCCAGGCTCTGCACCTGTGGCCCTTCCCCGAGGATCTTCTCAAGGGTAACCCCAGCGGGTCACTCGACAACACCCGCTGCCGACCAACTTGCGGCGGCCTCTCGCGACATACATGCTCTTGCATCAGCATTGTCGCCCGCACCACATTTTCGAGCTCTCATGCACCACGGGCGACCATCCCCGCCCATGTTTCAGCTCAGCCGTGAAATGAGAACGATGCCAATTGCACTAACAAGAACGAGTTTTTGGGTTGCGGAGCAACCTATTACAATCGATCTGAAAAGTTTTTTTTTTCCACCCTAATTTTCTAATTAAAAAAAAAAGTAAAGAGAAAGGTTTGTCACTCCATAAGAAACGTAATATACACCTTATGGGTATATACAAGTATACACAGTAGGTGTTATAATGTCACTGCTTCTTTTGTAGGTCTAAACGGCATTAATAATTGTTGGTTTTCCTTGGATGTATGAAGTGCTGGAAAACAAATCGATGTATATTTGTTTTCCATGACTCTAGATTTGTGTCGATGACAAGCTCGAACTACCACTTCCCCATTGCTAGCAGGGGGGGGAAGACAATGCCGAAAAAACAATACAATTTGTAAGTCACAAAATTTGGTTTGTTCAAATCATTTCGAACTCAAATGACTGCACTCACAGAGCGTGTCAAGAGTTGTATGTGAAATGATAAGCGCAATCCACTTTTTTATTACCACAAAAGAGTATTACTCGTATGTATCCATGTACTAGACATAGGACCGATTGCATGCAGCAAGCAAATGTCACCATAAAACGATTCAAAACAGCGAAGCATAATTGTAATCACAACGGAGAATAGACGTGCAGATTCAGCACCCATAAAGGTGCAATAAGACATCTTCAACGAGCATTTGAAATCCTGCAGTAAGATTACGAAGGAATGGAAAGGAGAAAACAGAAAGAGGGAGGAGGAAAGGAAAGATGTATCAGACAGAGGTAAAAAGAGAAGAGATAGAGACATTGAGAGAGAAAGCAAGAGAGAGAGAAGAGAGAGAGAGAGAGGAGGAGAGAGAGAGAGAGAGAGAGAGAAGGAGAGAGAGAGGAGAGAGAGAGAGAGAGAGAGAGAGAGAGGAGAGAGAAGAAAGAGAGAGAGAGGAGAGAGAGAGAGAGAGGAGAGAGAGAGGAGAGAGAGAGAGGAGAGAGAGAGAGAGAGAGAGAGAGAGAGAAAGAGAGAGACGCCTCCGACAATTCCTCGCGGGCCAATGGGACGCTCTGTACCATGCAGCCGCGTCTGCTGTCACCCTGCCACCCCCACCCCGCCACAAACCTGACACCCTCGGGAGAATATCCCGAGCTGAGGGGTTGGTGCGATGAGGCAGCCTGCGATGGGCTCTGCTCGCGTTGACTTCAACCCCAGTCAGCGAGTCCACCCCCGCTGTCTTGGAGGTGCTGAAGTCAAAACACCCCCCCCCCCCCCCGCTAGCCGCAGACCTTAACTGGCTGCAGCTGGGCAAGGACTACACGCCGCCCACTATCGAATTCGACGTCTTCACGAAACTCCTCTCACGCTGCGAAAATGGGGTTGGGGCGGGGCCATCGGGAATGACTTTCGAGCACCTCCGCGATGCCTCGCTTACCAACCCCTCCGTCGCCAAGCTCCTCCACGAGCTCATCCAGCGACTCCTCGCTGGTAACTTGCCGCACGAGGTCAGCCAGCTCCTGAATTCCTCATGCCTCCTGGCACTCACCAAACCAGATGGAGGTACTCGCCCCATAGCTATCGGCGAGTGCCTGCATCGACTAGCGGCTAAATCCGCACTCGTCTCTTCAACACAACTAGCACAAGACCATTTTCTCCCACACCAATTCGGGGTGGCAATCCGAAGCGGAGGGGAGATAATCATCCATGCCACCAGGGGCTTCACCTCCACGCGCCCGGGATCGCTGATCCTGCAAGTCGATCTCACAAACGCGTTCAACAACGTCGACCGCGGGGCTATTATCTATGCCATCTATCACTCGCCCCTACGCCACCTCCTACCGTTAATCCAACTCTCGTATGGGGCACCGTCCCTGCTTTACCTCGATTCAGAGTTCGGTAGCCCACCCCTATTGAGCGCTCGGGGAGTGCACCAAGGAGACCCTATGGGCCCCCTGCTCTTCGCGGCAGCCATCCACCCTGCGCTCCAGGCCACCGCGGCAAACCACCCCGAGGTCCTCTGTCTCGCCTACGCGGACGATGTGACCTTCGTGGCCGACCCAGGTGCCTGTACCTTGGCGTTCCAGGACTTCACCTCCGCCATGGAAGGCATCGGCCTTTCTCACAACCCCGCGAAGTGCGTGGCATGGTCTACCGAACGCCCCCTGCCTGATTGCCTCCCGCCGGACATACCCTTCAACAGCGAAGGGGTGCGCGTGCTGGGAAGCTTTATAGGCACACCTGAGGGCTCAGCAGGTTTTCTCCGCACCCAGCTGGCCGCACTTGCCGAACCCCTCGCCACACTGGCCACGATGGACCCACAGTCCTCCTCCCTTCTCCTCACACGCTGCGTGTCCAGACGCGTCTCCTATCTTACCCGCACCACTCCCCTGGACTACCTGCCCTTGGAGGCTTGGTCCGAGTGGGGCAGAGAGCTATTCCACACTCTACTACGCGCCTGCGACCTCCAGCCACCACGGGGCGAGTCGGAGCGGGCGCGTACCTGGGCCCAAGCTTCCCTCCCTCCCTCTCTTGGGGGGCTGGGCCTCACCGACCCAGCAATTGAGGGGCATCCGGCTTTTCTCACCAGTGTCACCCAATCTCAGGGCCTCCTTGCTGCCCTCCCAGCAGCGACCACAAGACCTCTGGCCGACGCGGTTCATCACCTCACACCCCCCTTTGCCAGCCCCACCCACATGCATACCTAGCTGGCGAGGTGTGAATCCGCGCTCCCTCCGCGGGACCTGGAGCTTCTCCAATCCAAGCGAGGTGAACCCTCGGGCTCACCTCTCCAGCACCGCCTGTCCCTCGAGGTCCAGGCCGGGCGATATGCTGACCAAGTGACCGCATCGCGGACAATGGACCCAAACCCATACTCCGGCCATACACAACGCCTCTTCTCCCTGGCCGGGTATGGGGCAGGGGACAGGATTCATGCCATTCCCATCTTCCCTTCCCTCCGCTTTGAAGCCCCACATTTTGCCATCGCCCTGGCTTTTTGCCATCGCCCCACATCCGTTCCCTGCCCCCCGCATCTGCAACTGTGCCGAGGAATTTGAAATCCTCGACACACGGCTGCCCAATCACCTCTTTCGATGTGGCACCGGACACAGGCGGACAGACACCCACGATGCCCTGCGGCATGAGAGCATCCAGATGGCCCAGGATGCTGATTTCATCGTCACCAAAGAGACAACCACCTACAGCCCAGTAGACGGCCACAAGGCTGACCTAGCAATCCGCGACCGCAGCTCCGGCGCCGTCTGGATCTGCGACGTCACCGTCACAGATCCCATCAGCAGCCGAGACCCGGATGCACGGAAGGGGCGGGGGTACATGGCCCGCAAACAAGCTGACAAGAAAATTTACCACTACCGCAACCGGGGCCCCTACGTCGGTTTCTTCCCACTGGCGGTCGAGACTTTTGGCTGCCCCTGCGCCAAGGTCCCTACCTTCCTGAAACTACTTGCGGACACAGGGGCCAGGAGGCTTTTCAATGCGGACCCGAGTTCCTACCAAGCGGCGAAACTACTTCATCAGTTCCGCCAGCGTTGGTCAGTAACGCTCCAACGGGCGCAGGCCTTGGCTTACCTGGGAAAAGTTAACGAAGCCTCCCCTGCCCCCCACACCCCCGTGGATTCCCCCGACGCCGACATGGCTCTGGGAGACTGCTTCGCCGTGGCGGAGCCCCTAGGGGAGCTCGAGTAGGCTAGGGCCCCCTAAACCTACACGTACCTTGCCTCGTTGTCATCCGCCTGCCTAGTCTGTACCCAGGGTTCCAGCAATAAACGGGCCGCTTGAGAGAGAGAGAGAGAGAGAGAGAGAGAGAGAGAGAGAGAGAGAGAGAGAGAGAGAGAGAGAGAGAGAGAGAGAGGAGAGAGAGAGAGAGAGAGAAAAAAGAGAGAGAGAGAGAGAGAGAGAGAGAGAGAGAGAGAGAGAGAGAGAGAGAGAGAGAGAGAGAGAGAGCTATAAAGACTCTCACTCCACGTTCATTCATCATTATTCTTTCTAGCCCTCGGCATAGTCTCTCTCGGATTTTGGCGGCGGCTCGCACCGGAGAGCGAGAGAGAGAGAGAGAGAGAGAGAGAGAGAGAGAGAGAGAGAGAGAGAGAGAGAGAGAGAGAGAGAGAGAGAGAGAGAGAGAGAGAGAGAGAGAGAGAGAGAGAGAGAGAGAGCTATAAAGACTCTCACTCCCACGTTCATTCCTCATTATTCTTTCTAGCCCTCGGTATAGTCTCTCTCTGATTTTGGCGGCGGCTCGCGCCGGCGGCCTTCGGCCGCGCATTTAGAGTACAAATAGCCGGCTCACGACTTATAGTTACAGTTACGGTTACAGTTATACATAAACAGAGCAATACATGAATACCTTGCCCTAGCCAAGCCCCGGTGACCCCAAGCCCACAGGGCCTAGTGTGTAAACCCCACAATGGCCCGGGGAAGTAGGCCTACGAAGCCGAAGTTCAGTCGGGCAGCAAGGCCCGCTCCAGCACACCCCGCATGGAGCGGAGTACAGACGTGGCACCAGCGACAAGCCCAAGGGCAGTCTCTGAATCCACAGCCCGAGCAAGGGACCGCAAGGCGACAGGGGCGGAATCACTCTCGTCGACCACGCGACCAGGCGGCTGGGGTAGATAAACTAGACCCCAAAGCAACCTCGCCACCGCCTCCTGCGCCCGCGCCTTCTGACGCCGCGACAACACCGGGTCCCGGGCCACGGCAGGACGGCAAATCAGCGCGTCGTGCAGAAGCTGCAGCAAATCGGCCAACACGTCAAACGAGTCAGCAAGAGCCTGCAGCCGATCCGCCGACCAGTACCGAGGACCGGATCGTGGCACACGTAGCCCAGACACAGCCAGCGGAGGGGAGCGCCCAACAGGTATGCCGCGACGAGGGCCAGAAATGGTCCGACTCGAAAACAGAGCCCCAACAAGGGGAGCCCATGGAGCAGCACGACCAAGATGGGGGGGGACCCCAGAGTAGGGAGCGGGAGCGTTCACGAGACGGCGACGATGACCTGCTGCGGGGGAGATTGCGCCCTCCAGCCCAGCCACCGGCCCCAGCAATTCCATTAGATGAAAACAGTGACGTGGGGATGCGATGCGCGAGACGAGGCGGACAGGGCAACCGCAGAGTGACAGGCGGCCGGCTAGGGATGCGCGTATCCGGGCGCAGACGACCAGTCGCGAGAGCGGGGAACTGGCGGGAGAGGCACGGTAGGCCGAAACAACAGGAAGCGGAAGGCGACCAGGAAGGGACTGACAAAGATGGGGACAGCAGGGGGGATTATGTACCATCAGAGGAGCAGGCCTCAGCGAGCGCAGCATCATCAAATCACGCCTCGGAAGACGCAGTTAACCGCCCGCGCCGTGAGGGATACCCGGCGAGGCGACGAACTGCAGGAGAAGATGTGAGGAGAGTGCCCACGCCTGATCCAGCGGGACCTCGGGAGCCGGAGGACCTAGCCACTGACGAAGAGCTTTGGAGACATGCCATCGAATGGGACGTGAGACCGCTCCAGAGTACGCGGCAGCCTTTCCTGATTCGACAACTTCCCCCCAGAATTCTGCAGGTATACTGTGAATGTCTGCTGGTACCCCTGACATGTTTGGCAGAAAAATGGGACTGCATGGGGGCTTGGCGAGTCCTAACATTTCTTCCACGCCTGACACTTAACCCAGCATCGGCCAATGAGGACAGGTGGAGGACAATCAGTCGCAGATTTTCCCAATTCAGAACTGGAAATTGGGGGTCGCTGTATGAAGAGAGTGTAGCCGCAAAGACGGGGAGCTCGCAACAGCGCAAACAACATGACTCAGCCGGTCTTCGTGCACGGTCCGAGTCACTGGTTCGGAAGGCAAATCTGGCGAAAGCAGTCACGGCGTTACAACCAGCAGCGACGTCACCGCCAACAGAAGCGACTCTCGCCTCCCTTTGCCAAAAACACCCCACAGACGATCGGCCAATCCCAGCGCACCTGGAGGCCTGCACGACATCCGACCTGGCGATTGACCACGCGGATCTCAGGCGAATCCTCGCCAAATGCCCGAGAGGCATGGGGGCGGGCCCGTCAGGCACGTGCCTGGAGCACATCCGCGACCCAGCACTCGCCAACAGTCAAATTTTGAATTTGCTGCTTGACTGCGTCAACTACACCCTGGGCACGACACTCCCACTGGCAATCAGGTCTACAATCCTACCGTCGAAACTCATCGCACTGAGCAAACCAGGAGGAGGGGTTCGCCCTATAGCAGTGGGGGAAAGCTACATTCGCATCGTCGCCAAAGCAGCAGTTTACAAGCTAGCGCCCATTACCCGGACGCTTTTTCTCCCATTTCAATACGGGGTGGCAGTATCGGGCGGACAAGAGTGCGTCATCCACACGACAAGGACCCTACTACAGGCGCACCCCAGCCACGTGGCAATCCAGCTTGGCGTTGAAAACGCCTTCAATAGCGTTTTCCGCGCTGCTTTCCTGCAAGTCCTGAGTTGGAGCGCCCTGCATCAGCTACTCCCGCTGGCATTGACCCTATATGGGGAGGAAAGCTCCCTATTGCTCGACAAGGCTTTCGGGACGACGACGCTGCTCAGTGCCAGGGGCGTGCGCCAGGGTGACCCGCTGGGACCTCTGTTGTTTGCCGCCGCCATCCAACCAATCTTGGCACGTGTGGGAGCACAGTGCAGCGACGTCGCCATCCTGGCGTATGCCGACGACATCACAATCGTCGGCCCTCCGGAGGCAGCGGCGGCTGCTTTCAGACACCTAAGATCAGGCCTACAAGAGTTGGGGCTGTCCTGCAACCTTGCCAAGTTAGCAGGATGATCGGCGCTCGAGTCCAGCCGCGCACTCGTACCTGACAGCATCGTGCGAGAGCAGGACGGACTCCGATTGCTGGGCAGCCCAGTTGGCACCCCCAAGTACTGCGCGACCTTCCTGACAGCGGAGCTTCAAAAGACGGCTACCCCACTACCCCAGCTGGCAGTCCTTCACCCACAGCACTCCCTCCTCCTCCTCATGCGTGCGTCTCGTGGAGGGCAACCTTCCTGCTACGCACCACCCCGTCAGACGCGCTACCCATCCACAGATGGAGGGAATGGAGTGAAGAGCTCCTTCGCACGGCACTACAGGCAGCCAAGATACAAGCTCCGAGGGTCAAGCTAGAGTGGAGCCTAGCGTGGCGCCAGGCCACCCTCCCTATCGCGCTTGGGGGCCTGGGCATGGACCCCATCTCTGTGGCGCCTGCCGCCTTCCTTGCCTCGACCCTGGCGGCAGGCCAGCTACTAGCATCCCTGGGGCTTGCCGAGTCCCCGCTCACCGAAGCAGCGGCCTACCTCACTGGGAACCCAGAAGCCGGCCACCCACTGCACACCATACAAGCCGACCTGCGCCACCGCCTCCCGGACCCTGCCAGACTCACCTGGGACAAAGCACGTAGAACCACGGCAGCCAACAAGCCGCTACAACAGCAGCTGTCCCGGGAGACCAACAACCAGCGGGCCGAAGAGCTCTTCGCGGACACCCTCCTAGACAGACCGGGACACGAGAACGCGCACGGCACCCGCCTGACCAACCTCCGAGGGATGGGCACTGGCGATTGGCTCCTAGCCATTCCTACCCGCCTGGACCTTACCTTCACACCAGGGGAGTTCGGCACGGCTCTGGCCTTCCGCCTCGGGCTACCCCAGCCCATCCCGGGACGCTGCACCTGCAGGAGAGAGACCATACGGGACCCGAGCTTGCCAAATCACCTCCTCCGTTGCAAGTACGGACCCCACGTCAAGGGCCTCCACAACGCCCTGGTCTTCTCCGCACTCCGCATTGCCGGGAAGCACGGTTCATCACTTACTATGAAACCACACAGTTCACTGTTCCGGCAAACCGCAAGTGGGCAGACCTGGCAGTACGGAATGAGGAGAGTGGAGCAACGTGGGTCACGGACGTCACCGTGACAGACCCAGTGCTGCAACACCGAGACAAGGACGCAGGAGGTCAGCCGGGTTGGGCTGCCCGAGAGGCGGCCAGAGCCAAGGAGTGGCTATACATACCCCGGCCAACATACGTGGGGTTCTTTGCCCTGGCTGTCGAGACATACGGGGCACTTGCGTTGCCCCTGGCAGAGTTCCTCAAGATGCTCGCCGATAATGCTGCCCTGGTCCGCTTCCGCTCCAACGAACTAACTACACCAGTCAAGAGGCTCTACTCGCACTACCGACAGCGGTGGTCAGTCCTACTACAGCGGCTACAGGCCGGTACCATCATCTCCCGCTCCGGGGAAGCACTACAGGCGGCATTCCCCGCGCCCAGGTCCGACCCCTGGGCACCCAGCTTGGGGGACCTGTTTGCCACTCTGGACGTGGCAGATTCCTAGGTGTCCGTAGTTGTGGCACAGGAGGACACATTGAATAGCGTCTGGGTAGCCTATCCTGCATATTTCCATAGTTGTTCTTCCTCTGTATCCTATTCTAAAATCAATGAGAATGACCAATTGAGAGAGAGAGAGAGGGAGAGAGAGAGAGAGAGAGAGAGAGGAGAAGAGAGAGAAGAGAGAGAGAGAGAAGAGAGAGAGAGAGAGAGAGAGAGGAAGAGAGAGAGAGAGAGAGGGCGAGAGAGAGAGAGAGAGAGAGAGAGAGAGAGAGAGAGAAAAAGAGGAGAAGAAGAGAGAGAGAGAGAGAAGAGAGGAGAGAGAGAGAGAGAGAGAGGAGAGAGAGAGAGAGAGGGAGAGAGAGGAGAGAGAGAGAGAGGAGAGAGAGAGAGAGAGAGAGAAAAGAGAGAGAGAGAGAGAGAGAGAGAGAGAGAGAGAGAGAGAGAGAGAGAGAGAGAGAGAGAGAGAGAGAGAGAGGAGTAGAGAGAAGAAGAAGGAGAAGACGACAAAAATGGAATGAAGCAAGAAATAAAAGCAGAAGATGGGGAAACAAAAAAAGGACACAAAAAGAAGGCAAGACGAAAATAGGAGACGGACGAGGAAAAGAAGAGAAGATGACAAAGGACGAGGAAGGAGGAGAAGAAACAAAATGAAGGAGTAGGAAAGAGAGGAGAAAACGAAATGCAACAGAGCACAAGAAGAGTATGAGCTTGCCTTGCAATGAGTGTTGCTTCTGCAATGACGCTGACATACCACACCAGCTGCAATCAGCGCCAGCGACGCGCCAGGTCATCAGCGTGCCAGGGCGCCATTGCGTTATGTGCCAGCATGCCAGTGCGTCCGCACGCTAGGCGTCATCACGCCAGGCGCCATTGCGCCAAGGTGCCAGCACGTCAGTGCACAAGCGGATCTGTGCACCAAGGCGCTAGCTCGCCAGGCGTCAGCACGCCAGGGCGCCAGCGCACCAGGGCGCCAGTGCGTCAGCGCACCAGGGCGCCAGCGCGCCAAGGCATCAGCGCACCAGAGCGCCAGCGCGCCAAGGTGCCGGCACGCCTGGGCGCCATGCGCCAGGCGTCAGCGCGCCAATGCGCCCGCGCGCTAGGCGCCAGCACGCCAGGCGCCATTGTGCCAGGGCGCTAGCGCGCCACTGCTCCAGCGCAGCACTGTGCCAGCACAGCACTGCGCCAGCGCGCCATGCGCAAGTGCGCCATGTGCCAGCGCTCTAGGTGCCAGCATGCAATGCACTAGCATGCTAGGCGCCAGCGTGCATGGCGTCAGCGAGCTACGCCAGCCCGCAACGCCCCAACACTCAAGGCGGGAGCACTAGCACGCGAGAGGATGAAGCAGCAGCTGGTCTAACTTACTAGGGTTGAAAATATGCTGTGGTTAGGATAGGACGCAAGAATCTGGTACGAGAATATGGGTAAATTCTGCAGCGAGTGTCAGACCCGAGGTCGACCCGCGGCTGAAGGAGCCGCGGGTTGTCACAACCTAACTATGGGTTTAATTTTCTCGACGGTGCAGCGGTTGCATAGTCGCGAACTTTTGCAAGGGGACGGTTGCGACTATACTGGTATAGCTTTTCAAGTCCAACATAACTTTACGAATTTATGACTCGTGGAAGTTCATTTGCGCGACTTTGTTAGTTGTACGGTTTGACAGATGACTGGCTGGAGCCGTCAATTTTTCGCAAGACCCAAGGCAATTTTTTTCCAGCCCCGGATCTTCCGTCTAAACCCTCGGGTCTAACACTCGCTGCGGAATTCACCCTAAAAGGGGTAGAGCGGAAGGCAAGAACCAGAGAGACATAACTCACCAAAACATGAGTCGAGCGCCAGCGTGGCACTCACCAAACCCTAGCTGGGGTTTCTCTGTTAGAATAGCAGAATGAACTAGAACAACTGAGTACAGGGGAGATATACGGTTGGAGTTGTACCCTCTAAGAACACAAACCTACAGTGATGAAACAATCTGTCCAAAAAATGGCACTGTTTAGCAAGTTCGTGATGTTTTGACAAGTATAAATGAATGATTTACAATCTGGAGCATGTGGACATTACGCATAAACAATTGATGCACCTCCAGATATGACAAACTCTAGCCAATATCGAATTGCTAATAGCGAGTACAAGTTTTAACGCTCGATGGTCGATGCGGAAAAATACTACCCGAGTAGAGACTAGATTTGTTTCCGTCGAGCATTCTTTGCACGAGCTAGCAAAGTCGCTCAGACTTACGCCAGCGCATGCCCCTTACCCTGTGATCCTCCAGTAACCACGCGACCACTTGCTTCGCGTTAGAGATACCAAATCATGAGCCTCTGTTGTGAGGTTATGAGTTTTCGACAAATCGCACGAACGCTAGGAATAGGGCACAGAATCGACCAAAAAAATATCAATTGTGTTGGTAAAGATATCAGTTGTGTTGGCACCGGAGGCCAAGTGTACTACGCGGGCCTGGCGAAGTTGCTGTAACTCGCCCAGGAGGAAGTACCGCACCTGGATGTGCTTCGCTCTGCCCTCAAGTCGAGGCTACACACACTGGAGAATCATGACCCTGTTGTCAGCGTATAGAACCGGGGCAGAGCTAGGCCGCTCACCTAAGTCGGTGAGCAAGAAGGTCAGCCAGCGGAGCTCCTGTGCCGCCATGGCACTGGCGTAGATCTCAGCCTCAAAGCTAGACTGGGCCACATACGAGGAGAGAGTGGACCTCCACAAGATGGCACCTGACCCGAGGCTACAACAGTAGCCCTCGGAGGACCTGAGTGTCTCGGCGTCGTCTACCCAAGAAGCGTATGTGTGCCCAGTAAGGACCACTAGCTTGCGTCCTCCCAGCCCTAGCCCCATGCCCGATGTACTTGCTAGATAACGCAAAACCCTCTTAGCGGCCGACTAGTGCTGTGGTCGGCGTCTGCCTAGAGCCACAAAGCAAGCCAACAGGCTGAGAGGGTATGCGAGATCTGGACGAGTGCAAGTCATCAGGTACATAAGGCAACCCATCCGCTCTGAATAAGGACCACTGGGCTCTATTGACTCCTTAGGAACTGGAGTAGAGAGCCTGTGGTGTACTGGCAGCGGTGTGGGCTGTGCGGAGGAGAACTGAAGACCGAACCTCTGAAGGACCTCGCGCACCAAGTGTGACTGTGTGAGAGTGATGGTGCACGCTGCTCTGTCCCGGGAGATCTGCAGGCCCAGGTAGCGGCGCAACTCTCCTAGGTCAGTGCAGGTGTGTCTCCTCAGCAGCTCGGCCTTCACGGAGGCCAGTGTGTCTCCGTCTGCAGGTCGTCTACGTAGAGAAGGATGTAGAACGGAGTCTGGCTAGCACGAACGAATAGCGAAGGGTCTGCAGACGACGGGAGAAATTGCAGGTAAACCAGTGTAGCACGCAGAGTGTCGTGCCACTCTCGGGGCGCCTGTCGCAGGCCGTAGACCCGACGCCGGAGGAGCCACTCGGTCCCTGGAGGGAAGGTACCGGTAAAGCCCTGTGGATGGCGCAGGTAGACCTGCTCGTGTAGGCTGCTCTGAAGAAAAACAGTGGAGAAGTCGAGGGAGTGGAGCTTGTAGTCACGCTGTGCTACTACATGTAGCAGCGCCCAAAGAGTAGTCATCTTTGGGGTCGGGGCGAAGGTCTGAAAGAAGTCCACACCCTCGCGCTTACTGAAGCCATGTAGTGCGCCTTGAATACAGGCGGATCTCCAGGGGACGCTCCACCTTGAAGGGCCAACGGGCTTCGACTACGTTCACCCCAGGCGGGGGAACTGCGTCGATGTAGGTGCCAGTGGATCTCCAAGATGCCATCTCCTGCTCCATGGCAGCTATCCACTGAGAGGCCCAGGGTCCCGAGGTCGCCTCAGCGTACGTGCGAGGGGTTGGGGTGTCAAAGGTGTATGGGTCACCCTCAGTGACTAGCAGCATGGAACAGAGATGGGGAGCGGCCTCAGACAGGAAAGCAAGCTCGTACAGCTGGTCCTCTAGGACGTCAAGGGCAAGAGCACCCCTGACGGACGGAGGACAGACAGGGTCAGAGACCAGAGTGGTGGCGTATTCAAGGCGGTGAGTGGAGGCGAAGTCAGTGACAGCAGTGACAAGAGCATCAAGACTCGACACAGGAACAGACTTGTCGGTAACGAGGGAGGCAAGGACCCTAGGAACAAGAGGACGAGCGGCACTAAGGTAGTCAGACAGAGGGGGCGGAGCGAAAAGGAGCGACGGCGGAGGAGGCGACGGGAGGAGGGGAGGACGAGACGTGTGGGAACAAAGCAACATAGGGTGGGAATGCTGAACAGGAGAGACAAGACAAGCACGAGACCAGACATGAGACGGAGGCGTTTGGTCAGGAGACAGAGGAGGAGACACAAGAGGGGAACGAGGGGAAAGATGAGCCAGAGACAAGTCCAGTGGAGGGAACACAGGGCCGTAGATAGGAAGAGGAGGAGGGGGCAGGGAAGGCACAGGAGAGCGGTCAAGGGAGGGAAGGCCGAGCAAGCGAAGGGCGGACACCGGCGGCGACTGCTGCTGCTACTGCTGCTGCCCGTAGCCGACACCTGGACCGCTTGTGGCACCACAGCTACCTCCAGAACACTCCACTCTAGCACCCCCAGAACGAGCACCCGCAAAGCGAGAACCCTCTCCAGCCCTGGTTCCACCCCCGAGCCTGCCGGGACAAGCCACGGCATGATCCCCTGGACTAGCACCCTCCTCAACGCCAGCACCCCCAGAGTCCACGGACGGCTGCTGCTGCTATGGCGGTGGCTGCAGCTGCTGCTGCGGTGGCGACGACGGCTGCGGCTACGGTAACGGCGGCTGCTGCGACTGCGGAGGAGGAGACACCAGGGTGGTGCCACAAGGCCATCAGAGTCAGCCGGCTCCTCGACCGGGACAATAGATGGGAGGAGAGTAACATGAGACACAACAGATAGCACAGGACAGGGAGGGAGGTGGGCAGGGGCTACCGGGAGAGTGGGAACAAGAAACAAGGGAGGGGTAACCCGGAGACCTCCGTGGGGAAAGCGGTGGTAAAAGGAGGCACACTCGTCAAAAGTGGCGTTGCGGGAGTGAAATTTGCGGTGAGACGGCGGGTGGTAAAAGTGCCAGTTAGACGAGAAAAGAGGGAAACCGAGGAAGACACAGGGGACAGTGCGGGCACTGAGCTTCTCCGAACCAGGGAATCCGGTCCAAACAAGGGTCGGCAAGCTCTGCGGTCACTGAGAGTGCGGTCACAGGTTAAGCTGGTGAGTGGCGTAGCGAACGGCGAACGTCCACAGAAAATGGGTGCACCAACATGAATCATGGAGGTACGAGCCACCTCCAATGACCAAACTGATACGTCGCTCAGCGACCCCATTCTATTGCGGGGAGTCCGACAGGGTGTACGACTGGGGAATGCCCTCCGCATGACAGAACTGTCCAAGCCGATCAGAGGCAAACTTGCCACCATGATCGAAGTGGAGACACGGCACAGGGAGACCGCGGTGGAGACGCGCGGCTACGACCCACGGGATAAGAACGTCATACATGTCGGCCTTCCGCTCCAAGGAAAACATCGTGGTGTAGCGTGTGTAGTCGTCGACGAGCACAAGAAAGTAGCACTCTTGACGCGGCCCAAGGACGGGGGCTGGGCCCTAGACGTCCAGGTGCAGGGTTTGGAGTGGTGCGGTGGCAGGGCAAAGCGAGAAG